CAATATGTCTATGTGTTGCCTATGTGCCCATCGTAGCAGGCCATGTCTCTTAGTGGGGGTGTTGAGGCCCTTGATGTTAATAGAGACGCATTTCAGGGAGAGGGGCATGATGGCGGTTGTGCTCCCGGTTCAGGTCCAACCGCAGCCTCTCTGTGTGGTGCGTTGGCGGATGGTGGGCCCGATGGTTGGGAGGCCGATGACCCGGCCGGGGCTCCGCGCCGCGACTGTGGAGTGGCAGGGGAGGTATGGGGCAGGAGGGAGGGTGAGGGGTGGTAGTGAGAAGAGGGAGGGTAGTGCGCAAGGGTGGGGTTTTGGTAGTATGGGCCCTGGAGGGCCAAACTACTGGTCTTACTCGTTGCCAGTAGGTGGTGGAGTGGTTCGCCTGACTGCTCATTAGGCGTAAGGGGTAGAGTTGGTGGTGGATTGGTGGGTAGTGGCGGGTAGCCGAAGTTGCCTGCAGGCCCGTTGTTGGGGTTTTTGCAATTCCTTATGGGGGTGTGGTTTGGTCGTGTTGTGTGCTAGCTCTCGGCGTCCTCGGCATCGCTCCTCCCCCCCCCTGCCAGCCCCCCAGCAGGGTAGGGAGGCCCGGAGGGGGCGGAGCAAGGCCCCAGGTGTATGTTGCAAATAGGTGTAAAGTGTGTGTAAGCACTGTACCCATAGTCAGTCTTCGTTACGGAAGTCTCAGTCACTCCGGGAGGCTGTAGTTTATAGTAGGGCCGTCATCTCATATATCAGTCGTCTTCCCTTAGTGACCGTGAGGTGGGGCGTCCAGTGGAGTAGTCTTGTCTCCGCATGGAATAAACTGGAATCACAATTACGACAACATTAAGCAGTGTTATGACTAGGTCAAGACCGTTCAAAAGCAGTAAAAATATCAATACAGGTGCGCTCCCGTTGCATAGAATATGACATTTAGATCTCAGTTAGAAGTGTTTTGCCGTGTCATATGCCGGGGGTTAGTTTTGCCATGCCACCTCTAGAATGGTTCCCTTCAGTTATGTGCTACATGTACATTGACGTTTCCGCTGGTGTATTGTTACCTAGCCTACTCAGATTGCATCAGTTGTATGTTCCCGGTATGATATATAGTGCCTTAGTCTGTGGAAGCGGTGTCATGTCAGGGTGGGTGATCGCAGGCCTCGGTGGCATGTGAGTTCTATGTATGACTCAGCTGAGACAAATGTGTTGTGCTGCTGGCTGTCTAATTGTGTTTTTGTTTTCTGGTGCATTTTTCTCTGCTTTTTTTGTTTTTGTTTTGTTTTCTTTTCTTTTATAAGTTGCTGTCCCCATTTGTCTTTTTGGGGGGGGGGATGCGTTCTGTCTGTTTCTCCCCTTTTCCCTTCATTTTCCTTCTTTTGGTATTTTTTTTTGGGGAGGGATGCGTTCTATCTGTTTCTCCCTTTTTCCCTTCATCTTTCTTCTTCTGTCTTCTTCCTTTTTTTTTTTTTTGTGGTGTGGTATGTGTGATATGTCCCCCCGCTTCCTTCCCATTGTATGTGTGTGCCCTTCTTTGTATATTCCCTATGTGTTGTCTCGTCCCCCTTGTTCCTAATTTCCTGTGCCCCCCAACCGCCCCCCCCATGTTAGGCTCGCTGTGTAGAAGGTAAGGTTGTTATGGTTGTGTCTCGTGTCGTGCATGCGTGGGGGCCTACGGTGTGTGCTGGTGTGTGTAAGCAATTTTTACAGCAAAATCATGACAAAAAAGAAAAAAGGAGAGATGAAGGAGAACATTATGGCCAATAGAGTCTTATCTGTCAGTTGGATGGTGGAAGATGCCGTATGTTGTCGGGCTGTCGGGATTCTGAGAGTCCTGGTTGTGCGGGATTCAGTGTCCTTGGGTACGTGAGTTGATGAGGGCCTTGTCGGAACGTCGAAATCTGGTGAAGCTGTTCACGCGGAGTTGGTCTGCTGGTTGGCGGCGGATATTCCCGAGCATCTGGGTTCGGGTCTCCCGTGGGTGGGTGGCGTCGTCGGTGGTCCGCAAGGGGTATGCCCAGCTGCTCTGCAAAGCTGCGTGCTTCAGCGATGTCGTGAAGAGTATGCGTGTGATTGTTTCTTCTCACCGTGAGTTTAAACGGGTGCCCCCAAGCATACCGGATCCGTCTCCGTGTAAGTGCCTGAGTAAGCGGTCTCAGCTCTCGTCGCTTTTGTAGAGAGCTCGGGGCCAGGTCCTGGAAGAACAATACCTGGTGTCCCTCAATTTGGAGGGGTGTATCTCGTGCCGCTCTCATGATGGCCTACTTAATATGATAATAGTGGAGCCGTACTATCACATCCCGCGGTCTTGTCATTCCGGGGATGGGGGCCCGCAGTGCTCTATGGACGCGATCTAGAAGCAGTTCAGCTGGGGGTGCTTCTGGGAGTAGGCTGCAGAAGGTCTCCCTGATGGTGGAAGAAAGGGACTCCATGTCTATGGTCTCAGGTATGCCCCTTATTCTTATATTATTCCGCCTTGAGCGATTGTTAAGGTGTTATTGGGCATCTTCAAGCCTTTTAACCTGTTCTTTGAGGTCTTGGATTGCCTGCTCGTGGGTGTTTGCCTGGAGGAGGTGGCGGCCATCTCGTCCTCCAGGATGCTGGTGCATTGCACGAGGTCTGTCAGGCCCGCCCGCAGGGGTGCCAGGTGTTTAGTAAATTCTGCCGCCATATTCTCCTTTATCTCGTGGAGCAAGCTACGGAGGTCCTCCCTCATGATGGGGGTTGTATTGCGGTGGCTCATGTCGCTGGCTGCGGAGTCGGAGTCAGACTCCCTCTGTTCCTCCACCCGCCGTCCCTCCTCTGGTGCGCGGGATCTGAAGATCGGGGCCACCACCGACCCCTTTGAAGATTTGCGCCCGCCGCCCATTTCCTCGGGTGCACTGATGGTAGGTGGTACTATGGTGGGTTTTTGCGCTGTATTAGAGTGGGAATTGCAGCTTGTGTGTGCTTCTGTAGGGCCTGCTGAAGTGGAGCTCTAGCAAGTTGCCGCCATTCTCGCCGGAAGTCAGGCGCCGCCCCCTCGGCCAAAACGAGTTATAATAACGTTGAACAGAAAATAAAGACTATATAATTAGCTTCTGCTCTATAAATCTGTTGATTCTGGAGACTACGTGTCTGCACCCTGGATCTTGCGCCTTTATCCTGGGGCTGTGGTTCCTGATGGAGTGAAGGCAGTGATATTGGCAACATCCCATTGATGCTTGGGCCTGGTCGATGTGTCTGCAGCTGGTGTTAGGCCCAATGATTGCAGGAACCTTGGCGCCTCTGATAACAAAGTTAGCCGGTGGTGGTGGCCCTCTCTGTCTGCAGTTATCACTCTCGGGAAGCCCCATTTATATAGGATGTCAGCTGCTCTCAAAAGTGAGGCCACCTCTTTCAGGGAGGTACGCCATTGCAGAGTCTGGCGACTGAGATCTTGGAAGAAGCTCAGGGTGTGTGTTTCAAATGTGTATGAGGTTTGTCCCCTGGTCACCCGCAGCATGCTCTCTTTGTCTGTGCGAGATTTAAAGTACAAGATGACATCTTTAGCTTTAAGTGAAAAAGAAAAGGTGGTAGACCGCGCCAAAAGAATAAATGATCAGATAATCATAAATGTACATACATGTAGTTCTTGAATTTTACAGCATATGGGAACCTCAAAAAAGAACAATAAACAATAATAGTGCAATATGCAAAAGTACTTGGTAATGTATAAATAGGATACACTGTGGGTAAAGAGCAAACTCACACTTTACCGAGCTGCTAGGAGCTCTGCCGTATAGCGCCTGGACGGTACAATCCCCGTCTTAGGATATGTAGTTCTTGGATGTTACAGCATATGGAAACCTCAAAGAAAACAATAAACAATGATAGTGCAGTATGAAAAGGTATTGTGATAATGTATAAATAAGATACACTGTGAGTAAAGAGCAAACTCACACTTTACCGAGCTGCTAGGAGCTCTGCCGTATAACGCCTGGACGGTACAATCCCCGTCTTAGGATCTGAATATACCAGGAGGTCCAAATTCAACGGTCATATATATATGAAAAAAACAAAATATACAGACCAATGGTACAATATCATAAACTGGAAATAATATAGAAAAAAGTAGGTATCCTACTTACAGTATCCAGAGCAATGACTTGCTCTGGTGATGACAGCTTATGGTGGTATAATCCCCACCACAGGATATAACAGGAAAGCAGCAGCACCAGAAGATATGCAAAAGCCAAGGGATTTGAAAAAAGGCAATGAAATTTATTATTAAAAAAATATATTTTAAAATATATATAGGTAAAAGTATATAAAAAACATATATAGTAACTTCAAATCCTATCCTTGACGCGTTTCGCCCGGGTTTGGGCTTTTTTAAAAGAGAGGCACTTTTCATACTGCACTATCATTGTTTATTGTTTTCTTTGAGGTTTCCATATGCTGTAACATCCAAGAACTACATATCCTAAGACGGGGATTGTACCGTCCAGGCGCTATACGGCAGAGCTCCTAGCAGCTCGGTAAAGTGTGAGTTTGCTCTTTACCCACAGTGTATCCTATTTATACATTACCAAGTACTTTTGCATATTGCACTATTATTGTTTATTGTTCTTTTTTGAGGTTCCCATATGCTGTAAAATTCAAGAACTACATGTATGTACATTTATGATTATCTGATCATTTATTCTTTTGGCGCGGTCTACCACCTTTTCTTTTTCACTTTCACTATCTAGCAGGCATTGGGAAGTCCTGCAGGTTCACTGCTGCCTTTTCACATTTATTGGGTTTTTTTAGTGAGCGCCTATATCCTTCCTTTCTTATCTTTAGCTTTAGCCTGGTTATTGCGAGGTTGCCCCGGTATGCGGAATAGTCCATCAAGTTACAGTCCCTTGGCCTGTTTTGGCAGTAGTATAGCACAGAACATCCTTCGGATAAATTGCGGCAGTTCCTCCGCAGATATTGTGTCAGGGATCCCCCTCGCCTTCAGATTATGCTGGCGTGATGAGTCCTCTAGTTGTCCGACTCGTCCGTTCAGTTGTTCGCACGTGGTGGAGATCTCCAGCACTTGTTTTGTTGTGGAATCTTGTTTGACTCGCAGGTCATGGACTTGGTCCTCCGTGACCCTTATCCGGCCTGTCAGCGTGCCCAGTTCTTCCTTAAGCACCGCAAGCTCTGATGTGAAGAAGGCTTTGAGATCGGATACCATGCCCGAGAGGTCCACCTTGGTGGCCATTTGGGGTTCAGTCTGCCTGTGTGGCAAAGCTTGATTGTTTTGTTGTGGTGTCAGCATGGGCACATTGCTGAAATCTTCACCCTCTGAGAGCGAGTCCAGTGCTTTATTAGGTAAGAGGTCTGCCATCTTGGGCCTACAGGGCTGGGAAAGTAACTGGCCGATATAGCGGGTAAGTCCTGTACTTTGCCCCCGAGCCTTTTTGGAGTGCTTCCCCATGATGTACTAAGGGTCGTAGATGATCTAGATACTGAGGGGTGAGGCAATAATACGCTCTGCAGTTCTGTATTTGTGTGTTTTTGTCAGAGCTCCGGCGCCATGCGTCTTGTCGGCTCCCCAGCTAGCTCCGCCCTCTTTTCTCCAATAAATCATTTTTATATCCTCAAATACCACATCAACCTCAATTGTTCCCAGTGTCCTGGCTTAGTGAATATGAGACCATGACATCTCTCTTCAGTGGCTTGTCTCATTCAGAGTTATTTCTCGTCCTATGTAAGCTTCATCACCTAATTTTTACGTTGTCTTTAGCCAGTTGGGTGAGATAGATACCTCTACTTTTGGACCTCATTTAACTAGAGGGGATATCACTTCTAAGAGAGTTTCTTTAGGTAGTTCCCTAGAGAACCTCCTTAAGGCCGCAGATTAGTCACAGGAATCTACTTTCTGTGAATTTTATCTTCGACCTTCTATACATTTTGCTTCTCCAATTATTGCTCTGCTTAAAATAAGCATAATATGACTTTATAAATTTCCAAGATTTTACTATTATCATGACGTAAAGTCATGATTTTCTCAAGATACGAAGGCGAATATTATTCCTACTCTAGTTTTCTTCTATAGAAACCTTTTTGTTTCTTCCCAACCCTTTCTTTATCTGTTGGGTAATTAAGTAATTATATTTTTTACATGCATTTATTTTCTTAGTTTTGTTATATGTACTGTTGATACCTATTGAGTAATAACATATAACAATTTGTCCCTTCTAAGGTATACTTATTAATGTTTTTTCTTTTAGTGTGGTTACCTCAGCTCAGACTTCCAATCCAACAGAAATATACATTTTCACCTGGTCCTACAGATTATGTTAGTTTGTTCCAGTTTACTTGTTAAATTGATCTTTTAGTGTATGCAACAACAAAGATTACATACAACTACATATGGATGGGAGATATTGTTGAATGTACTGATTGGCTGTGGCAAAGCCTATGTTAAATATTAATGTTCTAAATCTATGTTATAATTTAGAAGTTTTCAAATGTTTTTTCTTCTCTCTCTTTGCTGTGGAGGGAATAAAGAAAGTGGCACAATATGAGCCTCTGTGTCTTTATAAAATCATGAATTTACGTCATGATAATAGTAAAATCTTGGAATTGTGTATCATATTAAGTGCTTTAGGCAGTTATATCTCTGTCCATGGCCTCTTTCACTGATTACAACATGTTGGCACATTTCAGTTCTGTATTTTTTTTCTGTTCGTGTGCCCTAATGCTTAATTGCCTTATACCTGCTGTGTGAGAATACAGAATTGACAAACTGGGTGAACTTTCACCCCATTCAGCAGACTTTGCACCAGCTTAGCATCTACGGCAAAGTAAATATTGCACAGTGTCATCCACCCCCCATATAACCCCTGGATCTTTGCTTCTTGCATCATACAATTACATATACCAGGGATATGCAAGTCATATTGAGGTCACTGCTCCAATTTAGTAAACGTCCACCCATCCCCAGTGCAACCTCTGCTATCTAGTACTTTTTCACGCAAGGTTTTATCACTAGTTACAACACCACCACCATATCTCTTCTGAAACTCATCCACTCATAGTTATCTATGGGCAGTTATCAATGGCTGAACTTCGTCCTTCAGGTGCCCTGTGCAACACTTAGTGCCCTGTCCAGTATGCACCCACTCATCACTATTGGATGTCATAATTTAATGTAGATAGAAGTAAAAGCTACTTTTGACATAAAACAGTCAATCTCTCACAGGCACAGGGTTTTCGATTGTGTGTATGTGACTGCTAATGCATTAAGTAGTTTAAAAAAATGCTATTGCATTAAGTAGTTTAAAAAAATTTAAATTTTTTTTAAATATTGTTTTGTGTAGTATTGGGGCATGCAAAGGGTTTATGTGTGTGCAACCATTAAGATTGCGTGTGAATATTATTGCCATTTATATAGCACAAACGTATTGCTTAGTGCATTACAATGTTATAGGGAATTAGAGGGGGAATTTGCCAACAAAAGAGTTAAAACTATTACCAATTTTGACAGGAATGCTAGGTTGATTAGGGCTCACCTCCAGCGAGCTTACAATATAGAGAAGGTGGGGTATATAAGCCACAATAACAATAGGAAGGGAAGCATGGGGGATAGGAACCTCGTGAAAACATGGTTAAATCAAAATTGGAAGGTGGGAGTAAAGTGAAGAATGGACCCACTAATGAAGTTACCCATGGAGGCCACAGACTATCCTATAGTAGTGGGTTGTGAGTTTTAGTGACAGGATGTTGGGAAAAGAAATGCTTGACAAATTTGACAAACGGAGAGTTTTCTTAATTCCACATCTGACCTATTACTGGCAGTGTGACAGCACCCTTCTTCCCTGTAGGTATTGTCCCCTCTGCCTATTGCTCTGCAGCTCTGCTTACAATGATTGCTATTGGCTTTACAAAGGCACTTCCAGCTCTCAGGCCTAGTTCTCTTGATTTATCCCAGGGCTAGCGAGATCATACAGACAGTCAACAGGTCTGAAGACTCTGTTACTGGGATCCCTAAAAATCCAGACAAAAATCCAAAATGAATATGAATGCAACGTTTTATTTTTACTTGGGACTAGCCCATATGCTTATTGCATCAAGCTTGCTGTGACAAACATAATAAAATACAAATAACCAAAACATGTCAGAAAACATACAGGAAACTATAATAACATGTTTATAAAGAGGTGGGGAACACAACATATCTCTCCTGCCTGCAGGAATAAGCAATATGCAAATCTACCTGAATTTGCAAATTAACAAGCCTTGCTATTCAGGTAGTGCATATAGCTGTTGCTACCTACCAACAGAGGATGCTCTAGAGGCTCCATAGCCAAATCCACTTAGTTGGTAACAAGCATCAGCAGGACAGGAGAGCACACAAAACAATTAACAATATACAACCACATTATAAACAACCTGCACATATGATGGACACAGGGTGACTTAGACATAGGAGTAATTTAGGAATCTTTGTAAAGTGTCCTTCTGTTCCCAGTGATGGTGACTATTGTTACACCCCTTCTGTGGCCTAAATCCGGCCCTTATTTCAAACTCAAGTCTCAGTTGTTTTTTTTTTTTTTGCATCTATCTCTGAGTGAGTCTACATGGACTACTTGTTTGTTTTCAAAAATGCTACAATAGTAGCTCCTACTTGAACACATATTGAGCAGCAATTGAAGACTACTTGCATCCATTATATGTGTTTCTGTTAGGGAATTTTCCACTGCATTTAGAAGTATTTCGTTATGCCTTATTTCGTTTAGTAGAATTATGCACTCGGTTTTAAATTATTTGCAATTTATCCAAATTTTGGCTGATTAGCCGGTTGTCCATTTTCCATAACTCTTAACCACTATATGGACGTGTCATGGAACAAATGACACGGACAGTGGTTAATTGATGGTTTGGGGACAGCCACTAAATCAAATAAATAAAAGACTGAAACAAGAAATAAATAAACTATTCAGTCAGGATCTGGACGGACAAATTCTGACCGGAATTAGTTCAATATATATGTACACTGATCAACCATTAAAACCACTGACAGAAGAAGTAAATAACATTGATTATATTGTTACAATGGCACCTGTCAAGTGGAGGGATATATTATTCAGCAAGTAGACAGTCAGTTCTGGAATTTCATGTATTGAAAGCAGTAAAAAAGAGCTGAGAGACAAGTGCCAAATAATGGTGGCTAGTTGATTTGGAGAGAACTTGTGGGGTGTTCCCAGTGTGCAGTATCTACCAAAACTAGTGCAAAGAAGAGCAACTGGTGAACGGACATCAGGATAATGGGCGACCAATGCTCATTAATGGATGTGAAGAGCATAGGCTAGCCCACCTTACAGTGCATCACAGTTTGCTGTGCATAGGACTGCATCAGGAAGCCCATGATGATGGTTGTTTGGTCAGATGAATCATGTTTTCTTTTAGATTAGTTGGATGGCTGGATGCATGTGTGTTGTTTACCAGGGGACATGATGGCAGCAGGATGCACTATGGGAAAAAGGCAGGCCGTCAGAGGCAGTATTATGCTCTGGGCAATGTTTGCTGGGAAACCTTGGGTACTGGAATTCATGTGGCTGTTTCTTTGACACAAACCACCTACCTAGAGATTATTGCAGGCCACATACATCCCTTCATGACAATGGTGTTCCCTGATGGCAGTGGCCTCTTTCAGCTGGATAATGTACCCTGCCACACTGTCAAAATTGTTCAGGAATGGTTTCTGGAACATGGCAAAGAGCTCAAAGTGTTGCCTTGGCCTCCAAATTCCCCAGATTTCAATCCAATTGAGCATCTGTGAGATATGCTGGAACAACAAATAGATTCACAGAGGGGCCACCTCACAACTTGCAGTACTTAAATATCTTGCAGCCAGATATCACAGGACACGTACAGAGGTCTTGTGGAGTCCATACCTTGAGTCATCAGAGCTGTTTTGGCAGCACCAGTGAAGCATACACAATATATAATCCATGGTTTTAATTAATTTAATGGATGGTGTGGTTGATCAATATATATATATATATATATATATATATATATATATATATACTCTGAACAAAATTATAAATGCAACACTTTTATTTTTGCCCCCATTTTTGATGAGCTGAACTCTATGCTTCTATGTACACAAAAGGCTTATTTCTCTCAAATATTGTTCACAAATCTGTCTAAATCTGTGTTAGTGAGCACTTCTCCTTTGCCGAAATAATCCATTCACCTCACAGGTGTGGAATATCAAGATGCTAATTAGACAGCATGATGATTGCACAGGTGTGCCTTAGGCTGGCCACAATAAAAGGCCACTCTAAAAGGTGCAGTTTTACTGTATTAGGGGGATTCTGGGGGGGGGTCCAAAAACTAGTCAGTATCTGGTGTGACCACCATTTGCCTCACACAGTGCAACACGTCTCCTTCACATAGAGTTGATCTGGTTGTTGATTGTGGCCTGTAGAATGTTGGTCCACTCTTCAATGGCTGTGCGAAGTTGCTGGATATTGGCAGGACCTGGAACACACTGTTGTATACGCCAACCTAGTGCATCCCAAAACATGCTCAATGGCTGACATGTTGTCAGGAGTCTTACCTGATGGGGAGTCCGGCTCGCAGAGTTATACGCTCACCCTTGCAAAGTAGACAGAGACCAGGGTGACCAGGTAAGACGCCACCTGACCTGTGAGTCTGTGCACGGGGGCTTTCCAGGAATAGTGCTCCAAGTAGCAGTACAGCAGGGATTAGCAGAAGCGTAGTCAAGGAAAGTCAAAGTCAGTGGAAGCCAGAGATCAGAGTAGTCCAGAAGGAAAGCCAAGGTCAGAAGCCGGACTCAGACAGGAAATACTGTCTGATACGGAGAGACAGCAGCCAGAGTCCAGGGAACGCTGATACGGAGAGACAGGAACCAAACAAGGGAACCAGAGTCAATGAACTGACACCCTTCCCAGAGTGAGGCAGGCTTTTATATCCAGCCAATCAATATGGGATACAGGTGTGCTAGAGCAGCCACGGGTAAGTTCAACTCCCAGTGCTGGAAACAAGGCAAGGACACCTATTAGGCAATACTATGAATGACTGGATAGCACAGTGGTAAAAGAGCAGGATTCAAGAAGTCAGGGTTCAAATCCCGCCAAAGCCACCAGGAAGGTAAATCCAGCATTACACATGTCACGATGGAGATCGTGACACATGTCCAGTGAGTATGCTAGCCATGCAAGAACTGGAATGTTTTCAGCTTCCAGAAATTGTGTACAGATCCTTGTACATGGGGCTGTGCATTATCATGCTGCAACATGAGGTGATGGTCGTGGATGAATGGCACAACAATGGGCCTCAGGATCTTGTCACGGTATCTCTGTGCATTCAAAATGCCATCAATAAAATGCACCTGTCTTCGTTTTCCTTAACATACGCCTGCCCGTACCATTACCACAACGTTGACATCAGCAAACAACTAGCCCACATGACACCATACACGCTGTCTGCCATCTGCCCTGTACAATGAAAACCGGGATTCATCCGTGAAGAGAACACCTCTCCAAAGTGCCAAAGCATTTGTCCACTCAAGTCGGTTACTGACAGTGAGATGGTTTCTGACAGTTTGTGCTGATATTCGATTGTTGCAGCAGGTTGGTCTCAGACGATTTTGGAGGTGAAGATGCTGGATGTGGAGGTTCTGGGCTGGTTACACTTGGTCTGCGGTTGTGAGGCCCGTTGGATATGGAGGTTCTGGGCTGGTGTGGTTACACTTGGTCTGCGGTTGTGAGGCCCGTTGGATGTACTGCCAAATTCTCTGAAACGCATTTGGAGATGGCTTATGGTAGATAAATAAACATTCAATTCATGGGCAACAGCTCTGGTGGACATTCCTGCAGTCAGCATGCCAATTGCACGCTCCCTCAAAACTTGCGACATCTGTGGCATTGTGCTGTGTGATAAAACTGCACATTTTAGAGTTGCCTTTTATTGTGGCCAGTCTAAGGCACACCTGTGCAATAATCATGCTGGTTAATCAGCATCTTGATATGCCACACCTGTGAGGTGGCTGGATTATCTCGGCAAAGGAGGTGTGTTCACTAACACAGATTTAGACAGATTTGTGAACAATATTTGAGAGAAATAGGCCTTTTGTGTACATAGAAAAAGTCTTAGATCTTTGAGTTCAGCTCATGAAAAATGGGGGCAAAAACAAAAGCTTTGCGTTTATAATTTTGTTCAGTATATATATATATATATATATATATATATTGTAGTACCGTGATAGGGTTTGGGTTTTTTTTGGCATATTTATGGTTTGTCTGAATAGGCTTTTCCTGAATTGTTTGCATGGACAATATTCAGACAAGCTGAACTACTGTGTTGACGAAATTCTCTGACCAAATAAAAAAATTTTTCTTTTTTTCTGCTGTACACAAGTCTAGTAACTAGTCTATTCTTCTTTTCTTCATCCAAATCCTAAACTCATCAACTGCAAAGCTGATCTACTGCTTGTCAGCTTGTGGACTTCAAAATATCATCAGGAGAAGATCACCATCATTCTAGCAATGCTATGATGTCACTTCATTATAACCAGTGTGGGTTTACTGTAGCTCTGTATAATGAGCTAGCCATGTGCACTGATATACAAGGTGCTGAATTTAGGTGAAATACAGCAGTTCACCCCATGCAGAAGGTTTATAGGTTAGAGAATGTTCACGGTTACTTAGATTTAGGATTTGTGGGGAATGAAACATACGATTTTGGTAGGTTTCTGCACTTGTAGTGTTAGGGGTCATTAGGGTTAGTGTTAAATGGTAATAAGAAGGTAGTGGTGTGTACAAGTGGTTCCCTGAGAAAAGGGTCAGACACAGTAAGGCAGTGTAGCTAATTAGTACCTGCTGTAGCAACTACTGGGGATTAAAAGATGCACACCTACACAGGCACACGAAGAAAGAAAGACAGAAAGAAAGAAAGTTAGATCTGTCGTCAGAGAGAAAAGTAAAGATTGTGTGTATATTATTATAGAAACCAGAGTTGAGCAGAATATCACAACAGCATGTGCCTGTAATAGAGAGATAGAAGACAAACACAGACATAGAATTAGAAAGAGATAAACGAGGCACAGTGTTAGAGAGGTGGATGTGCCTGTGTGAATCCAATTCTTAGAACCCAATAAGTGTCAGGAAGAGAATTCGGAACAGGAGGCAGAGAGGGGAGGAGGAGGCTGTGTAGGGGGGCTGCTGGAACAGGAGTAGGAGGGAGGGATGGGACAGCGGCTGTCTTTTTCAGATAACATAATCTGCAGAATAACATAGACCCTTGGACCTGTGAGGAAGCTTTAGTTCGCGAAAAGCACTAAGCACAGAGCAGGCAGAGGAAAGATCTGTAAAGATGGGCAGCATCAGCAAGGAGCTCACTTTTGGCACTGACAATCACCATCTGCATGACAAACGCATAGGCACCAAAGAACACATCCTTAGTGACAGCAGAGTGCTAAAGAGGGATTACCACCATAGGTGAGTGCTTACCTGGGTGGGCAGAGAACACCTAACCTAGGGTGGCAATAGATCTATACAATGTGTGTTTCAGATCCTGTAGATTTTGACAAAAAAAATTAAGTTTCATGTAGTTGCATGACTTTTTCATTGACTGTATGATAAATATCTTGCATTGCTGAAGAACTCAAATTGGCATACAGGGTTATAGCCTATTAGTCCACTATCCCGGTGGGTTTAATACGAATTAGAGTTACAGTAATGCTTAGGTTTACTTCCTGGATGTTGTGTGTAATATTTCAAGCTGCTTTGTGTTCCAGACAGTTAAACTGTTCAGTTTACTGTCGTAAAGAAAGCAGGCATACTCTTATACATATCATATTATTCACATTTGGACCTCACAGGCTTATTTAAAGCCAGATGCCATTTCTCTTAAATAGGACTTTGGCTGAACTTTTATTCACGTTAGGTGCATTGCAGGTCAAATAGTCAGGGTTGGCTTATTTTTAATAAGGTAAGAGTAAATATACATATTGGTATTGTCATTGCCTTTATTATCAGTGTAATTCAATGAAGGGTTTACCCGTTCATAAGCCTGGAATAACCTTTAAACCTATTTGGTGCTCTCTACCAAGGTGTTCCCTTGATCAAAAAGTAGATATTTCTTAACTGATTCAGTTTAGAGCAAACTGATATCATTCTAGGTAAGAAATTGTGAATTGTTTGCTTATATATAGGCTAAAAACCCATCTTTAGCATCAGTTCTATAAGACATATGTGTAAAACTGTGAAAGATTACTGTAGCCTGCTGTACATCGCATGGCAGGGTGGAAAAACATATAAGGATGCTAAGTGCCACTGAATGTGTCTCCAGGTCTTCCTGTTCTACTTAACTCAGTTGCTGTCTAACTAAGTCTGTTCTAATGTCAAGACAAGATGACAAAACAATAAGAAGCTGTTAACATAGTTCTAATCCCACTCCTACCATTATCTGGGGGCACACAGCAAAAGATCTATCTGTTCTTTCCAATACATGGCCACATAGAAGGTGTAAGGTATTGGGTTAGAGTACAATGAGTCCCTCCTACAAAATTCCATGGTTTTCACACAAACAGAAAGAAACTATAATTTTGTACACTCAGTCTTTCCCGATTTTTATAGAATGGTACAAGCACTGGTAAAAAGTGTGTCAGGGCACATACAACCCCAATAACAGGGCAATGCAGTCACAAGAATATAATGGGACATACAGTCTATCCCATGTACTATAGGCGACATAAAGAAAATGAGGCTCTATATATATATAATCTCATTACAGATTAATGGTTCCCAGTTAAGTATACGTTCTGCTGTTGTACTGTAGTCCCGTCATTCAGTTTCAGCCGCAGGGGCAGGCCAAAGGACATTACTGTAGTTTAACAAAGTTTGTCAATGGAAGGTATAGAGGGATGGCCTGCTCTACAGATTGACACAAGAGGTTGCAGAACCTGTTGTCTATGACAGATGTCCAAGACTGATACTTGGTCTCTCTCCACAGAGTGTTCGTGAATCGGAGCCTGTCCATGGAGAAAATAAAATGCTTTGGTTTTGATATGGATTACACACTGGCTAGTGAGTTATTGTCATTTGCACATGTAAATAATGGGTACCTGAGAATGGCTGGTCTCTGTGGTGGAAAGGATGTATAAAGGGAGATAAAATAATAAAAACATTTGAAGAGCATGATTAGTTTATTGGATACATTTGACTGCTTCAGTATTGCTTACTAAAAAGTAAGTATTCTGATGTTCTAATATATGGGCTATGGGAGGTCATTTGTTATAGGTCACATCTCCATTTCTGTAAGCCTGTGGCAGGACCCATTTTCTGAATACAGACAAGTTATCCAGAAGTGGCTCACTTTGGTTGACCTATCTTTGATCAAACTGGCTGAAGTTAAAATTTTGTCCACAAGTGACAACCCAAAACTGGAGTTTGGATAACAAGCTCACAAAATGTCCATTCCCCAGTGTAGGGTTGTACTTTGTCAGACCATTTAGTGATATAAGTAAGTGTTATTCGTCAATGTGACTAACCTAAAAATATTTCAACCCCCTAAAACAGTCTTTGTCACACACGATATTAGAGGTCTAAACTGTGCTGGGTCAGCTTGGCAAAGATCCCATTAGCAGTTAAACTGTGGTTGGGTGTCATTCACAAAGTTTAATAAAATTCACTTAGAGGGGAACTATCCCTTCCAGGTATCTTCTCCTTAACGAATATGTATTTGAGATGTGAGATGTGAAAAACAAAATTAAACATATCTTGATATTGCCTGGTGTTCAACTAGAAGAAAATCTCCAGTCTATTTCAAGAAGTAGTGGTCTGGTACCAGCTACAGCCAGTTACATAGCATGGACATGGATGTCTATCACACTGCATATGTAGAGAGCTGACATGGGCATATAAACAGTTTATTTTTTTTTTTTTTTATAACTTAACCCCTTAAGGACTGAGCCAAATGTACACGTTGTGAACAAAACAAAACGTAAACAAAACCTGACATTTGCGCTACATGTCTGTCCAACCGTAATTCTCCTCTTTCATAGTAAATGCACCCACCCTTATTATATATCATTTTATTCAGGGGAAACAGGGCTTTCATTTAATATCAAATATTTAGCTATGAAACATAATTTAATATGACAAAAATGGGAGAAAATAATATTTTTTAAGATTTTTTTTTAGTTCTACAACACATTTTAACTGTCAATGTCATAATACTGTTTCCTTTTACTGCAATAAAATACACATATTTGTATTCAGCAAAGTCTCACATGTAAAACAGTACCCCCTATGTACAGGTTTTATGGTGTTTTGGGAAGTTACAGGGTCAAATATAGCACGTTACATTTGAAATTGAAATTCGCCAGATTGGTTACGTTGCCTTTGAGACTGTATAGTAGCCCAGGAATTAAATTTACACCCATAATGGCATACCATTTGCAATAGTAGACAACCCAAGGTATTGCAAATGGGGTATGTCCAGTCTTTTTTAGTAGCCATTTGGTCACAAACACTGGCCAAAGTTAGCGTTAATATTTGTTTGTGTGAAAAATGCAAAAACCGCCAATTTTGGCCAGTTTTTGTGACTAAGTGGCTACTAAAAAACTCTAGACATACCCCATTTGCAATACCTTTGGTTGTCTACTATTGCAAATGGTATGCCATCATAGGGGTAATTTTCATTCTTGGGTTACCATAGGGTCTCAAAGGCAACGTTACCAATCTGGCGAATTTTAATGTGAAAAAAATGAAACACAAGCCTTATATTTGACGCTGTAACTTTTGAGAACACCATAAAACCTGTACATGAGGGGTGCTGTTGTACTCGGGAGACTTCGCTGAACACAAATAGTTGTGTTTCAAAACAGTAAAAAGTATCACAGCAATAATATTGTCTGTGTAAGTGCTGTTTGTGTGTGAAAAATGCAAAATAATTCACTTTTACTGGCGATATCATCATTGTAATACATTTTACTGTTTTGAGCAAAGTCTCCTGAGTAAAACAGTACCCCCCATGTACAGGTTTTATGGTGTCTTGGGAAGTTATAGGGTTAAATATAGTGCTAGCAAATTAAATTCCCTATACTTTCGGCATGGGTTGTCAGGCAGGTCCCGCTAATTGTAATGAATTAAAATACCTAATTATGTAAAAATATTATATAAATATATATTAGAATTAATATATGTATATATATACGTATGTGTATATATATATATATATATATATATATATATATATGTATGTGTATATATATATATATATATATATTTTTTTTTTTTATATATAGGTATATATATATATATATATATATATAGTGATATATACGTATATATTTATGTATAATATATGTAATAGTAGGGATTGAAGAAACAAACACGTATTTATGACACTGTAGTGCTGGTGTGGTAGTTTCGGTGACCAGCCTTGCTCCGATCATCCTGAAAAAGTGAAATTACTCACTATTCCCCTCACACCACGCCAGTTTTGCTTTAGCTGGTCCCGCCTCCATGACTGGAATAATCAGTCTTGATGATCTCAGCCAGTAAAAAGAAAAGTAGAAAAGTATTGGGAAGCTATTGTGCATGCCTGGTAAAACACTTTGCTGCGCCATTCAGCATCTCCTCATGGAGATTCATTGAAACAATACATCTCTATAGAGAACATTCAGCGTCTCCATGAAGAGCGTGGAGACACTGAACACCAGTTCTGCACATTGTGCATCACTGGAATAGGAAGCACCTCTAGTGGCCGTCTGGGTAACTGTCACTAGAGGTGTTACTAGACAGCAATTTAAACAATGCATTTTGTCTGAAAAGGCAGCGTTTACATTAAAATGCCTACAGGAGCAGTATAAAGATACCCGAACCACTACATTAAGTTGTAATTGTTCTGGTGACTATAGTGTCCCTTTAAATTAATAATAGTTGTGGTTACTTTAGCTGCATTACCAAGCTAATCTAGATCCTTGCAGGGTAGTCTGTAACTCCTCATGTTCAAATGTGAAGTGTAATTTGAAACTTTTCAAATAAATACAACTGACAGTCGCTACATTTCTAGATCAGGGTTATTCCACGTGCCCGTATTTCTTTTATCCAACCCATATCGTGCCTGTTTTAGAATTATTATTGGTTTAGCCAGTCAAATCCCTCAGTCATGCATTGGAATACTCCATGGCTTTCTATTGTACTTTTATAAAACACAGATAATTTGTCATTTTCAGAAGTAATATTTTTCCAGTACAAATGTTGAAAGACATGGCATGTATCAAGCAAGGTGCGTGCTGTTTTTATTTAGGGTTACCAGATCCACCATGTTTTCAGGGACACATGTCACTTATACAGATTGATGGGCAGCACATGAAAAGGGTTGCCGTGCGGTATGTAGAACTCAGAAGAAGGTGTATAAAATAAAATGATTTGGCAATGTAAAATCCTGCAGAATATGCATTGTACATACTGCTGGGCAAACCTTTTCATGCGTTTTCATAAATATGCTGCTCACATCAAATCACCTGTATGTGTGTGATAGAGGAATAAGCATGTGCCTTCTCTAAATCTACTGGTGTGTATTCTTACTGTTCAGACACCAGGAGATGATTGCTTAAGCACGCCACTGTTAGAGGCCCAGGAAGAATAGGGTTATTTACTAAAGTGAGAATTCAAATTGTATTTCAAATTTAAGGGAAAAGTAGCCGGAATGTTTCTCCAAGTCAGCTATTTGGTTTGGTTACTTTGTCTTAAAATGTTCAATTCACTTTGAATTTGCACTTTAGTGAATAACCCTGTAAATGTTAAAACATCAAATTTTCTAATAATATGGAATCACTGAGTAGGGGTGACATAGGAATCTCCCTGTATGCTACAGCTTGATCATAGAGAAAATAATGGCATATACTGTATTTTTCCATCTATAAGATGCCCCCATGCATAAGACAACCCCTAGTTTTTGAGCCCAAACTTAAGAAATACATATTTTAAACTGTAGCACTGAAGTCCCTACCGCTCCCGGGTCCTTTCACACTCCGGTAGGCTGCTCCCCATCCTGCTGTTAGCCTACTGGGGATGTCGGGGCAAGACCTCACCCTGCAACGTCTATCTGTTGTCTGGAGCCATGAGATCTTGGCGTGGTCCAGAGTGATGCGAGAAAGCATTCAGTTGTGCAAGATCTCCGAGACCTGCACACACAATCGATCAAATTCACGGAGAAGCGCCTCATCAACTTTAAGTATGTCAGCAGGTCGCAGAGGTGTAGAACACCTATGTCCGCGGGAACCTGGCAGTAGTGTATTCAACCGTCAGCTGAGTGTTCTGTCAGCGAGTAGCCAAGTTCTGTACCCCAGTTGCACTGAGTAAGTACTGTAAGTATTTGGCCTAATAATTAGATTTTTGAAGGTGCTCCAGCCACATGCGACTAGCTTGGTTGGCTGTCAAGCCCTGCGCACAAGTGTTTTTTTTTAACCCTTGCAATGTCATTCCATGTATAAGACGACCACCAATTTTAGACACAAATTTTTTAGAAAAAAACATAGTCTTATACATGGAAAAATACGGTAAATTACAAAGAGCATGCTATCATTTGGCTGTATTTATATACATTACCTTAAGGTTTATTTAAAAAATGTGACATCATACATCTCAGTTCTATCTTGACAGAGCCATGGTACAAAAGTGATGGCACCAAATCTGTCCTTCTACTCTATATCAATATATTAGTAACAGTTTTACCTGTAATAACATTCATATTGATTGATAGCCTTGAGAGTTTGTGACATGGATAGTTGTTTTGTAAATAACCATTGCAGGGCCTTTTCTTTATAATTTCCAGAAGTTTTTTTTTCTCTTTTCTGCCCTGAGCTTACCGCTCCTATTCTCCCCTCCTGTTGGTAAATTTGGACCAAAGATATGGGACATATCAACAGAGAGAAGAATTCACATAAAGTAGGCCAAGACAGTTAAATCTTGTTAGAAGAGTTAGGTTCAGTTTACACTACCTGGGATATATGGCATGAATGATTTATCAGCTCACATATTTCCTTTATATTACTCTGTGGAGTAAAAACTTGCAAGACATCACTTAGAATAAACAAAACTGTTGAGAAAAAAAAGGTTAAAAAAGCAAATACTGCTCTTTTTGTTTACTTCTTTTCGTGTTTATTTTTATTCATATTTTCTTTTTTTTTATGCTCTTATCTATAATCATTGCTACTACTTACATGGGGACCCCGCTCTCTCAACAGTGTTGAGAATATCAGACACCTGCACCTTGCACAACACAGGCAGACGGACCCCCTACGACCGATAAAATAATGGTGTCTATCTTAGCTAAAACCCCTCCCCCTGCCACTCCCATGGTTATAGGTAATAGATAGGATGCCACATAATGTACAATGTATATTGGAGCAATGCACACACATGGTACTCTAACATGTCCAGAACTACTAGGAACTCCTTAGACACGTACATGCAGGCATCCAAACCTATAAGCTTGAGCTGTTTTTTTACACGCTGTTAACAACAATGTATCGCAAGGAAAACACCTTACCATAGTTTGTCAAAATGATAAACCAAGCACGAAAAATAAAGAATTAAAAAATAAAATAAAAAGCAAACTAGGTTACTCTACTTTGCACATATTAGCAAACACAAATTCTAATATTCTGTCTCTAATTTTCCTCTTTGCCACTCTCACCTGTAGTGTACCGGTCGCCTGACTATGAGGAGCTTGGGTTTGAACTGTTGTTGGACCGGTTGGTCTGCATTGGATATCCTCATCAGACACTGGAATATAAATATGATCCCACTTTTCCAGCAAGGTGAGTGATTTCACTTTTATTACCATTTTTCCAACTCAAAATGGCTTCTTTATGATAATGCAAACTGCTGATAGAACCTGGACACATACTTTTGGTTGGAGAATAGAATCTTGGTCAACAAATTCCTATTGAACACAAACATGTATTGAATCAATGCATCTTTATGAGGAAAGTTTAGTGTCTGCATGCAAGGGGTGGAGACACTGAATGGCAGTATTGCACAGGGTGCTGCACTGCCCCAGGAAGCACCTCCAGTAGTCATCTGAGGAGTAGCCAGTGGAGGTATCCCTAGACTGTAATGTAAACATTGCATTTTCTCTGAAAAGACAGTGTTTACTGCAAAAAGCCGGAAGGGAATGCTTCTAATCAATAGAACAAATACAATTAGTTGTAGTTGTTCTGGTGACTATAGTGTCCCTTTAACAGCATTGAATTCTACCACAATTTCATTTTTTTTTACCCTCGTATTGGCATTTTTCTTAGTTACATAGTAATCCTGGTTAAAAAAGACTCAAGCCCATCAAATGCTACCTTTCACATCTCTGTTGCTGTTGTTGATCGCAAAGAAGGAAAAACTCTGATTATCCAGTTTGTAAAAAAAAAAAAAAAATATATATATATATATATATATATATAATCATTTAAACAATATTGTTACCCAAGTGCATGATGGCACTGTTACAAATGCTTTGTACATTCTCAGCATCACAGCATATTGCATACTCAACATCGAACCTAATATGCGTGGAATTACCTAGGTGCAAAATTTATAATAAGGCAATTTTGGTGTTTCTGCTCATTCTGATAAGTGAACGTTGTTGCTCTTGGCTTTGATTGAGAGTATTTAAACAGACATTAAAGGGACACTATAGTCACCAGAACCACTACAGCCTGCAGGCTGAGCACTGTAAATGTTGCATTTTCAGAAAAGATGCCACTCGGGGCGCTTCCTATATCAGTGGTGCACTGTATGCAGCACTGGCGTTCAGTGTCTCCACACTCTGCATGGAGATACTGAACACTCTCCATAAAGAAACATAAGGAGATGCTAATTGACGCAGAGCAGTGTTTTGCAGCGTATGCGCTTCAGCCTCCCAATACTTTCCTATGAGAAAGCATTGGATTTGCTGAAATCATCAATGTTCATAATCTCAGCATTGAAGTTGGAGACAGCCGTGGCGAGACGACCGTGGCATGTAAGAAAAAATGAGTAAAATCACCTTCCCCATGCGATCGGAGGGGGGCCAGTCATCTAAATAGTTAAACGATATAGTATCCTGAAATACATATTTGTATTCCTGACTCTATGGTGTTTCTTTAACTATCAATAACTGTAGTGTCAAGTGGTACAGGAGATACTGTAGCTGGACCAGTGACTATAGAGCTATCTCATTGGGCCACTGTATTGTAGAAAATCCCCCACACGCACAGAGATAAACAAGGCAAATATCCATGAGACAAAACAAAGTAAAAGTATATAGTTTGTTCTTTTGTTATAGTTTCTCTCTGATAATGAACGAAAGGAGAATTTCAAATTTAAGATGAAAATAGCTAAAAATTCCCTAAGTTGGCTATGCTTTCAGTTCAACTACTCTAGCCTTAAATTTATAATTCACATTGAATTCACCTTAGAAAATAACTCTGTATGTACCATGAAGGGATATTAATGATTGTCAGTCCTATGAACACAAATTATTCTACCATACTGTCCCTTTACATTGACTTCTTGTTCTTTTCGACATATACATATTACATTCTTACTTTGTTCTACATTCAAAAGATTACATCGTTTCTATTCTACACACAGATATTATATTGTTTTTCTGTTCCATGGCTAAACAGGTGCTATTTTGGGGGCAAAGTGCTAAGCAGTTGAAAAACATTCTATTAGTTTCCATGCTGTTAGCTCCCTAATTACATTAGAATAGCATATGTTTCTGCCTTAATAGATCCTGTACGTTGTTACTCTTATCTACATACAGATAATACATTGTTATTCTGTTCTACATATAGCTATTACATTATTTTGTTCTACATACAGGTATTACTTTGTAATGCTGTTATGCATACATAAATGAAAGTCTGTTTCCAAAGTACAAATTCTAATTCTAAACTCTCTCATTTTCTGTCCCATTTATAGCTATTATTGTCTTTTGTAACCCCACATGCTCCAACCTGCTGCCCTATATACAGATATTGCAATGTCACTTTGCTCTACATACAGGCTAACTGAGTATTCTGATATTATTATTATTTATTATTATTGTATTATTTATATAGCGCCAGCAGACTCCGTAGCGCTGTACAATGGGTATGTTTACATATATTATATTGCCACACATATACTACACCTATTTTACTATAATGATATTAGTGGTGTTCTGTTTTATTTGATCTTACATGCAGCTATAGATTTATTCTTGTGTTCAGTTTTCTTTCTGATTGCATGTATACTCCTATGTGTATGTATTACACTTCTATATAGTCCTACTTACATTGTTATTTGTATCTAGATGAATGTGTTATTTCTATGTGCAGATTTGTCAGTGCTATGCTATCATTTGCACAAAGCCTGTTATCTCGTGTAGGCAGATACTATTTTGTGTTGTGTCATGTTACACCTGTGTATTCTTTGATATTTAGATCACATTTGTATTCTATATTTTTAACCCGGAACATGTAAATGGCTTCTCCAAAATATTAACAGGCTCTTCTAAAGCATTTTAATTATGTAATTAAAAACCCAGTGTAGGGGGGGCGGGGCCTGACCGCCATGCTGACTGGTCGCGTGCGGGAGAGGCTCTTGCACAATCTGGCCATCTGGGCCGAAAACTACGGAACAAACTGCTCTTATTTCAGCCTAGAGGTACAGCAAAGTGAGCAGGGAGCTGTGGGCACTACTGCAGGCCCCAAGATCGGGAGCTTTGGAGACCCTGAGGGTTATACACAGCTTTGGAGCCTGTGGCCTAAGCGGGAGAGAAGCGGGGTGGACGGCCGCCACCCTGCTCGATAATCTAGCAGCCACACAGCAACCCTGTGACACTCCTCACAGGCCCCGTCCCCCCCCCATGGCCCGGGGGGGTTATCCCGGTCCACAGTGGAGAGATCTGACACCATCAGGAGCAGATCCCACGGACCTTGGTCTGCTCTCGGACACCCGCGCTCTCTAAACAAAATGGCTGCCTCACAGTCTGAACTAGAAAAGCTGACTACCTGCAGACAGGAACCACAACACTGCTAAATGCTGGCTGGAGCACCCACTCCTGGACTGTCTAGCCACACCAGCAGAGGAAATGGCAGCCCAAGCCTTTGTGCCAGGCAACTGGGTCCGGCTGCCCTCCTGGACATTGAGACGTGAGAGGATGTTCCTCACATCGCAACCCAACGCCAGCACGAATTACACCAGCCAGGACCCCCAGATACAGGACCAGGCCTTAAACCGACGGAGCAGTACTTACCGAACTCTCCTACTTGCTGGAACCCTGCCATCACTTCCTGCACACAAATCAGCAGCGGGAGTGTGCTGAAGATCGCATACCTGAGGGGACTGTGTTCTGTCTTTGTCTGTAGCACCCAGGTTGACTTTTTGTTTCTCACCACCTCTTCTCATTATTTTCGCACTGCACTAAGTCCCCCATGTCACACACCACTACACTTGCACTGTATATTTCATAGCGACAAACTGATCAACGAGACTGTTCTTAAATGTCTAGAATCTTAATACCTCACCTACTGTGTTTTCGCTGCTCAGGCCTGTCGTGATTACATGGAATGTATGTCTTACAAGCAAACACAAATAGGCATAAAGGTGGTGATGCTTAGATGGTACTGCGAGGATACTCCACAAAATAAGCGTGATCAAAATCTATACTTAAAGCATGTTAACCTAAAGAGTCATGTGACTAGCCAACTGTATTGCTATTGACTGCTCTTCTGACTCCATTACTTATTTTTCAATAACATAAAATGTGCATTATTTCTCATGTCACACAATTGTTAAGCTCTACCTGATGTTAAGCATGCACCAGCTGTTGTGGCTGTGCAACCCTGTATGTCTAACTGATGAACAAATAAAATAAAGAATTGAAAAACCCAGTGTACAGTGGATAGAATAGCCATTTTAGTATTCAGGTCATAATTTCTATCCCTGTACTGCACGGATACATGTAATTATTTTCTGTAATGAACCGGCAATGATGCACAGATCACCTACGTGCAGTTTTAGATCCCTCATCTTGGAGAAACCAGGACATAAACGCAACAGTTTGTCTGAGATTAATGTACATTACACAGGGCCGGTGCAATGATTTTTGGCTACAGATGTGTCTCTCGTAACCCCCCTTTTGAATTTGTGGTTGTTGTACAGGGGGCTTGGATAGGGGCTGCCAAAAAGATAAAAAAAATTGGATAAAAAAACCCAAAAAATTTATCTCCCCCTCCTTGAGGCTTACCTTGGGCCAAGGAGGAGTGAGATAGGAGCTGGAGCCTGCAGCCATCACACAGCAGCAATTTAAGTCGGCCGGCTTCTCCTGATGATGTCTGGAGGAGGGGGCGTGACTTCCACTGCTCTTCTCCCATCCGCTGGGGAGCCTGGGAGAAGAGCAGTGGAAGTCACGCCCCCTCCTCCTGAGAGGTAAGTTTAAAAATCCGAGCCCCCACACAGAGGCAGGGGAATCGGATTTTTACAGCCGCACGCCAGAACTGTGGTGATGTTTCCACTTGGGAAAGTACATAAATATAAGGCCCTCCAATTAACCCCTACACTACAGTAAACTATCAATAAACAATAAGCACTATACTATCAACAAATCTCTTAAATTACACCACAATAACTATTAACCTGGCCTATACTATGCTAACATCCACCCTCCACTACTCTAACCATTATACCTTATTATCCTTACCTAACATTTACATTAACACTAATCCTAACATTCTACTGTATCCATTATAGTGAGGTATTCTATACTGTGCATCCATTAAACTTTGATATTCTGTACTCTGTATCCATTCTACTGTGGCATTCTTTACTATGTCCATTATGCTGTGATGTTCTATATGGAAACATTGTTAACAGTTACAATTATCCCTACAATGCCTATAACAAGCCCCTAAAATTGAGTATTGCATAATGATAATAATAATTATAACAAAAATAATCAAATAATAAATAAAACCTTTATAAAGTACTCACATTGAAATTTTCATTATGAACAGAATCGTTCTTTCTCTTTATTAGTTGGAGGATTTTCAGTGAGCTAAGACCAGGTGCTGTCGTTTTGGCATTTGGCCACAAGGAATTGTTTGTTCCAGCATCCGTACAAACCTTGATCTTTAAAGCGGCTCTGTCACCTTCTGGGGTCTTCCCTTATTTTGCCCAGGTAGTGACTCGAGTGCTCGCAGCGAGGTGGCTGCGGGGTGGCGGGAAAGGTGAGTTTTACATACATGAACCTATCCTTTACAGCAGTGATGGTGAACCTTCTTGAGCCCAAATGCCCAAACCGCAATACATGCCAAGTTTTTTTCCATACCAACACTCCAATTAAACCTGAATACTGAGGTTTAAGTTTAGAAAAAACAACTCGTACGGTTGTCCAAACTAATTAACATCTTTTGTTTTAAAAGAAGAACACAACAACAGAGAGTTTAATGATACAAATTTTAAATAATGATATAAATAATAGATACGATTAAGCTTATATTTATTAGTATCACCAACAAGTGCAATACATACATACAATACATACACACAGACTGCTGAGCACATTCACACTCCGACTGCTGAATACATACACACACTGACACACACACAGACTGCTAAATACACACACAGTCCGCTGAATACATGCACAAAGTCAGCTGAATACACACTCAAACAAACATACACACAGACTGCTGAATACATACACACAGTCCGCTGAATATATACACACAGACTGCTGAATACACAGACTGCTGAATACACACACACACAGAATGCCGAGTACACACAGACAGACTGCTGAATACATACACACGGTCTGCTGAATACATACACACAGTCTGCTGAATACATACACACAAACACACACACAGACTGATGCATACACACACAAAGTCTGCTGAATACACACACACAGACTGCTGAATACATACAGACTGCTAAATACACACTCACACACACATACTGCATTGAGTGGTGCGATGTATGTGGTTGTGTGTACAGGTGCAGAGTGTTTGTGGAGTGCTGTGTGTGAAGGGTGCTGTGAAGGATGCTGTGTGTGTGTGTCTGTCGGGTGCTGTGTGTATGTGTGTGTTTGAGGAGTGCTGTGTGTGTGGGGTGAGGGATGCTGTTTGGGGAGGAGGAGTGCTGTGTGTGTGGGAGGGGTTCTGTGTGTGTGGGTGGGGTGCTGTGTGTGTGAGGGGTAGGGGTGCTGTGTGGGAGGGAGTGCTGTGTGTGGGGGGGGTGCTTTGTGGGGGGAGGGGTGATATGTGTTTGAGGAGTGCTGTGTTTGTGAGGCTGGTGCTGTGTCTGTGGGGGGAGGGAGGGATGCTGTTTGGGGAGGAGGAGGAGTGCTGTGTGTGTGGAAGGGGTTCTGTGTGTGTGGGTGGGGGTGCTGTGTGTGTGAGGGGTAGGGGTGCTGTGTGGGGGGAGGTGCTGTGTGGGGAGGGGTGATGTCTGGGGGGAGGAGTGCTGTGTGTGGGGGAGGAGTGCTGTGTGGGGGTGGTAGGGTGCTGTGTGGGGGGGGGGGTGGTGGTAAAGATACATTAAGAAAAATACATAAAATCTTAATCCCCCCCCCTCCCTTTTTCTTACCTTTGGTGACGGAAGGGGGACACAGCCAGCCCTGGTGGTCCGGTGGTGGTAAGTATGTGTCTAGCTGCAGCTCTCCTGTCCTCCCGTGCAATGCTGTGTGGTACGTTGCCATGGCAACGCGAGGCAACGCTCCAAACAGCCTGCTTACGGGGGGACAGGAGAGCTGCTTGCCAGATTCCTCGCTCTGCCTCCTGGTCCTCCCGATACGAATGCAGAGTAGGCGTCTGCCGTTTTGGGGCCTACTCTGCATTACTGCCAACTGGTGCCGGCACCCACCCCCCCCACCAACCCCTCCAGCAAACTATGGCCGCACGTCCACAGAGAGGGCTCAGTATGCGATAGGTTCACCATTACTGCTTTACGGCATTCTATCAGATCATCTTCAGCTCCTGATGCTTCTTTTGCCAGGAACCAACGTCAATGCTGTATTCTCTTGTATGTGCTGGAGTACAACACTGGTGTCTGTGGAGGACCAGGAGAGACTTCAGGATCCTCCACAGACAGAGCGTTTTTCCCTCGGCTATCACTAGTGACGGCTGAAGGCTCGAAAAAGTTTGACAGTGGTAGCTCTGCTTTTTTGTCAAGATTTGTCAGGTGTTGGAAAAATACATACTTTGTCTTTTGATATCTTTTGACTGGGCTGGAATTTCAGTGAAATTCAAATCTATTGAATTCCTATTATGGAATACGCCTTTTGGGGGAGGGGTGACAGAGCAGCTTTAAAGGACCACTATATGCACCCAGACCACTTCAGCTCAATGAAGTGGTCTGGGTGCCAGGTCCATCTAGTGTTAACCCTGCAGCTGTAAACATAGCAGTTTCAGAGAAACTGCTATGTTTACATTAGGGTTAATCCAACCTCTAGTGGCTGTCTCATTGATCACAGTGAGAAGACCCTATAAGAACCTATAGAGCCAGGAAAATGGGTTTGTTTTCCTGGCACTATAGTGGTCCTTTAACTTTGTCTCAGCAATGCTTATGATTTTACTGTGGTTTTGTCCAGTTTGTATTTTGCCTTTATAAATTCCTGTGCTTTCTTTGTAAGAAATAAGGTGGTTTCATTTTTTTAAATTTAAAAAATATATAGTCATGGGAATAAGAACATTCACCCTCTTTGAATTCTATGTTTTTACATATCAGGGCATAATAATCATCTGTAAAGTCTGAGATGTAACTCTTGGGTTTTTTGCGATTTCTCTGCACTGCATTGCACAGTCTGCATCGACCTGGAAGATTGGCAACTGTATTGATAGTTTTCCACTGTTTTCCACTTTTGAATAATCTTTCTCACTGTAGAAAGATGGACATTAGATTGCATTGCACAGTCTGCATCGACCTGGAAGATTGGCAACTGTATTGAATGTTTTCCACTGTTTTCCACTTTTGAATAATCTTTCTCACTGTAGAAAGATGGACATTAGATTGTTTGGAAACGGCCTTATAACTCTTCCCAGTTTGATGGGCAGCAACAATTGCTTCTCCAAGATCATTACTGATGTCTTTCCTCTGGCATTGTGTTAACACACATCTGAATGCTCCAGACCAGCAAACTGCTAAGACTTTGACTTTAAAAGAGGTGGTCACACTTGCTGATGATCAGTTAATCAATGACATTTGATTAGCAGCACCTGTCTGCTACTTAGCCTCTTAATTCATATGGAAGCAGTAAGGGTGTACTTCGTTTTTCACACATGGCTTCTCCATTTTGGCTTTATTTTTGTTATATAAATCATGACACGGTGTAATAGGTCATGTGCTGTTGTTCATCTGAGGTTGTATTTACCTAATTTTAAGACCTGCTAATGAACAGATGATTGTTATCATGAGATGATATGTAAAACCATAGAATTCAAAGAGGGTGCTCGCTCTTATTCTCATGATTGTATATATAATTTGTTTTTAAAAAATTTTTTAAACATTTGTTTGTTTTGTTCCATTTGGAGTTTGCTGTTACACTACATCCTCTTTGTGAACAGATTACTCAGTCCGTGTTACCTTGTTCCATTTGTTTGGCAGGGGCCTGGTGTTTGATTGCCACCGTGGGACCCTGCTGAAAGTTGATTCTAATGGGAACGTACTTGTCTGCACGCATGGCTTCCGTTTCTTGAAAGGGTGAGCGTGGGGAGGTCTGTAATCCGTGTATAACTCTCTCCTGTTCCCCTCGGTGAGCTCAGCCTTGGCTATGGGATAGAAACAAGGACTGGATAGAGAACAAGATAGCTGTTTGATGCTGTCATGATACTATATTCTGCACAGCTGACTTAACTTTCATATCCCTGTGGGTTTAATATCTCTATAAATAAGTCCATTGTCCAGAGGCCAGAATTCCTTCCAATCAACTCTATGTCCTCCATTTGTTCCTTCCCCGGACCCTTGCCATGGTGCAGACAGCCCTTCACAAGATGTTTACTAAAGAATAAATAAACATTGGGATCTGCTTTCAGGGTGAGATCAGGTGAATTGTAGAGAGCCTTTCTATCTAGTGCCGTATAGTTGAAACTGTTGTTGAATAGAGAGGATGAGGGAAGTTGGGGGGCTAGCATAAATTATTAGTAAGTCACTTAAAACTTCTCAACATAGCTCTTCCCTGGCCACACCCCTAAAATTAAAGTGATAGGCTTCTTATAAACCAATAAGGGTCCATTATGTCCATCTCTAATCTAATTCCAATCAGCTCAGAAATCTGGGATATTTATCCAAATAAATTCATCCAGAGAGATGACACCAAGAGGTTCCATGTCCTCAACACACTCTTCAATCTGTCGGGTGAGTGTTAAACATTTTACATTATTTTTATAATATTTTAAACTATTTGTTGATATTGGACCACAAACCAACCAGCTACAGCGTCCCATCCAGTGGAATGTATATAACTCAACAAGATTGCTGAATTAGGCAAATCATGATTCTGCATCTCATACATAGAAAAGGTTCTGTGTTTTAATGCTCTTTTACTAACAATATTTTAATAAAAGGGACACTTTACTGCCCAAATACAAAATAAATAAAAGCTGCTGTTTAGTAGATATAACCCCAATTAACACTTGCATGCATTTCATTTTTTCATTGGGGTTATATCTAAAATCAGCTTGCAAAACCTGCAGTTCTGTTGTGAGCTGCCTTTGCAATCTCTCCCCTTCTAACCCTACCCAGCCTTTCTGTGGCTGTCCAATCACAGCTCAATTAGAAGTCTTTGTAAGTCAGTAGCTCTTAGGCACTTGCTGCCTTTTGAGGTTAGCTGCACTGAGCTAACCAAACCAGGAAGTAATGGCACATGTTGTCTGCTTGAAAGCCAAGAGGGTGTAACTAGGTTAATTTACAAAAGAGTCACTTTCTATTGAAATCTGCACTGTTTGAAAAATTAAACTTTTTGCATAAAGCTTTTCAGGAAGCTAAAGTTGCTTAGGGTTCTGGAGTGACCCTTTAACCATTGAGATAGCACAAAGCAGATTAAAAGAAGATCATGCACTATTACAGGTGTCAGATATAACAGTTCCCTGAAAATGGTACCTCCGGTCATTAGGATTGTCAAGTTTGCCCTGTTCCAAAAGAAACATTACCTCGACATCCACATCCATGCTGCTGCACATCGTATTTACAAATTATATGTAATCAGATCACTTTATTGCTGTAGTCTCTTTGGTAACACTGATGTCTGCATATGAATTTTGCACAATTTACCGGAAGAGATTAAATGTATTTGATGACAAAAACAGCAGATGTATTAGCCTTGCTAGTCAGTCTGTTTTAATGCATCTCCTCTTAAAAAAAAAACAAAAAAAAAACATATAGTGTAGATTGGATTAACTATATTAGTCGAGTAGACAAGATGCCAAAATACCAGTGTTGCAGTATGCAATGATACCTTTTTTAGTCCAATAAAAAAAGGTTACATTGTATATGTATGTATGTATATGTGTGTGTGTGTGTGTGTGTGTGTATGTGTGTGTGTGTGTGTATATATATATATATATATATATATGTGTGTATATATATGTATATATATATATATATATATATATATATATATATATATATATATATAATCATATAGGGGCACACCTGGATTTAGAAACTTTAACTCGATTTGTTGTGCAAAAAAATGTTCAAAGAATGTGCAGCTATATGATTTTTCATTATACTGTATATCTATCGCTGGTTTGCACCCTGGTTATATCTTATAAATTCAAGTTATGGGAATAGTGCAATACTTACTTTTTGCAAATATATATATATATATGTGAAACTTTAGACTTAAAAAAATAAAACAAAACCAGAAATGCAACTATTTGCTCTCCCTTTACAGAAACATACCTGTATGCCTGTTTAGTGGATTTCTTCAACAACTGTTCTCGATATGTAAAGTAAGTGTGTGTCCTCATTCTATTAATATATGTGTTAGAGGGGGTTACAGCGAAAAGAATGTGTTGTTTTGAATGCTATCTAAGTAAAAACGAAATCTGGATTCTACTTCATTATATACAAAAAAAAAAAACACAATGTTTTTTGATTGCTAAATTATGTATATTAATAGGTATTATCCCTATCAATGACACCTGACCAGAGAATTATATGATATTTATATGTGTGACACACTGTGCAGAACTCAAAATCCCTGGGAATGTAAATATCACGAGGTTATATGGAGTAATAGGAGGGGTTATAGGGGAGGTTATATGGAGTAATAGGAGGGGTTATAGGGAGAGGTTATATGGAGTAATAGGAGGGGTTATAGAGAGAAGTAATATGGAGTAATAGGAGGGGTTATAGGGAGAGGTTATATGGAGTAATAGGAGGGATTATAGGGAGAGGTTATATGGAGTAATAGGAGGGGTTATAGGGAGAGGTTATATGAAGTAATAGGAGGGGTTATAGATTATATGGAGTAATAGGAGGGGTTATAGGGAGGGGTTATATGGAGTAAGGGGAGGGGTTATAGGGAGAGGTTATATGGAGTAATAGGAGGGGATGTAGGGAGAGGTTATATGGAGTAATAGGAGGGGATGTAGGGAGAGGTTATATGGAGTAATAGGGGTTATATGGAGTAATAGGAGGGGATGTAGGGAGAGGTTATATGGAGTAATGGTGGTTATAGAGAAGAATTATAAGGAGTAATAGGGAAGATTATATGAATACATTTAGTTAAGCAAGGCAAGTTGTTATAAGAAGATATTACAAGGAGCAGTATAATTGATAACTCAATTTGTATAATCTACTTTATATCATATATAATCATACAGAGGAGTGTTTAGATCTATATGTGTATGTGTTTCTCTTTCTCTCTCTCTCTCTCTCTCAATACTGTTTTTTTTTTTTAAAACCATGAACTGAATGCCCTATGTTCCTGCATTTCTCTGCAGCTGTGACACTGGGTATCGCCACGGGAACCTATTTATGTCATTTCAGAGTATATTCCAGGACGTGCGAGATGCTATGGACTACGTGCATGACTCGGTGAGGTTAATGAAAGGGTGTGGAGGCCTTTCACACTATCTCACTGCAATGTATGCCTGCTGCACGTCAACACAGGCACTATACACTGGCGATAAGAGCTCAGAATACTCATCTCCTTCTGTGCTAAAGCATAGTGGGCTAGAGGACATGCCCACAATTGTTTTGCAAGAGATAATGTTTTAAAAAACGTATCCAGTAAAGACCTGAAATACATGCACATAGTTTCAGGAAGGCTCTGTATGTAAAAATAAAAAAAATGTCTTATATATACTAGGACCTAAACATTGCTGAACCAGTAATCACCACATTCACTAGCAGTAAGCTTTAGTGTACTTTTCACAGGATGTCTTTATAAATGTTGCAATGTGTAATAAATAGGTACATATGCTTTAGTTACTATTAGGAGACTGGTCTTTGTACTTGAATTAGTATTCTGAACACATGTATAACAGGACTAATATAAACAAACGGATGGTGCTAAAACTTTAGAAATTCTAGGAAGTCATAGTAAGACTTGGTGATTGGGTTCTAAGTGTTCTAGAACTTTGGAATGTGATAGACTTGCTTCTATGTCAACATGGAGTACTCTTATTGAGGAACCACGACCATCAAACCAATCAGAAAATGAAAAAAAGACTAGGCATTCTCAATCAGTAATGTAACAAAATGTTATCTTCCTTCTTAACACAGAAAGAGAACATGTATAATGTATTGTGAGACAGTAATCACCTAATACATGGATTAACATTATGAAGGACCCTAATGAAAGTCCCACTTTCAGACTCTATTTTAGCAGTTTAGTCAAAATAAAGGTTGTTGTTAACTACTGTCCTGCAGTATAGTACTTGCTATATTCTATAGTACGGCCTTCCCAATGCCATGCTACATAAGCAGGAATAAGGGATTCAGAATGTTAACTCCACCTCTCTTTGCCTATTTTTCCCACAGTCCCATGTATGCTAATTCTTAATACCTTTGCTTGTGCGTTATTCAGTTGCTATTAAGTATAAATGTCTTTTGACATTGAAGTTGGTTAATGTGGGTTCATTGAGGAAAGTGGGAGCATTTCAGTTTTGTTTTTTTTAGATGGTACTCATTTTTTCAAATTCCTGTTTTATGGGAAAACCTTATGAAGGAGTCAATATGCTGTGCTATAGAAACATATGGGAAATTTAGCAAAGCAAATTGTGTCTTATTCAGAAGCAATGCAGTGTTTTTCAGTTTACACATTTATTTTCATTCATATTTCCTTTTTTGTCTCAGTATATCTTACGTTTCACTTATAGTTATAGTTATATTCTGTCTCTTTTCAATTCAGGGCTGTCTGAAGGAGAAAACCTTAAAGAATCTGGATAAATATGTCGTAAAGGATGTATGTAATTTATTTTCTATATTGAGTCTTTAGGGATATTGTGGTTCATTTTTAATTATTGTTCATTCACGTAATTTCCCAGGATGCATTTAATATTGGTATTTTAGATACATATTGAGTAACCTTTTGCTGCACATTATACACAAATGCTGTTCAAGGACAACCAAAACCTTGCGAGCTCCATACCTCTACCTAAATATATGAAATGAGCAATTTGTTAACCAGATAAACGGATTATCTTCCAAGAGATTATTTTACATACTTGGTTAGTTAAAATAGTGTTAACAATTCTGTGTTAGAGCTGGGAAACCCAGGAAGAAATCCTGGTCAGAGCACTTGACATCAAATACTGGGAGATTCAGGTTTGAATCCCAGTCGGACCACCTGTCCTGAGTGTCCTCAAATACTCAGATTGTAAGCTTGTTTGAACAGGGCCTTCTTATAATTGTAAAGCACTATGGAATATGTTTTTTGCTAAATAAATGCTAATATGATAGCAATGGCTCTTAATCCTCGGGTAAAATTTGGAGTGGGTCAACCACCAGTAATAATTCAGATTCTTTAGCAGCTCTGACTTTCTACATGCAGTGAAGTCCATGACACAGAGTATTCTAATGCAGACTAAAAACGTCATATGCACCAATGTGCTGTAGTAGTTTTTTTTATTATTATTATTATATGTAAAGCGCCAACAAATTCTGCAATGCAGTACAATAGTGGGACTAAAAAACAAGTTGTCACAACAAGACATGTTAGACGTACAGGAACAGAAGGTGCTGAGTTGCTACTCAAACAAGCTCACATTCTAAGCCAGGAGTTGCATGTCATCCCCCTATTGTAAGTAGTTAAATCATCTTATAATGGGGTATGCCCAACCCCACTCCATGGCTCCACTCAGTTTTTAGAGAGCTCAAAGCTCTTGCTTACGATTCTTGTTAGGCTGCATTGGAGATAGGGAATGGTGCCCAATGGACCCCAGGTAAGAAGACAAACTGTACTGAATCAGTTGACTACTTACTTTGGGGGAAGGCTAGCACCAGGATACTCTTGGCACCATACACACTACAGTGAGCTGGAGTGGTTATAGTTCTACAGTGAGCTAGAGTGGTTATAGTTCTTAGAGCGTTCCTGTAATACACATAACAGTAGAAGAATAGGTCTCTAAAGTAATTGTGGAATTGAAGAATGGGTTGGCGAGGTAATGCTTTATATGTAATTTGGGTCCTCATCCCAAAATGTTAAGAATCACTACTAAAGTGTGAGGGTTTGTTAAATCCCAAAACCATTAACTAGATGAATCTTCCCATAATCCTTCTTGCTTTTTTCTTACAGGCACGGATTCCTTTACTGTTGAGTCGCATGAGAGATGTGGGCAAAGTCTTTTTGGCTACAAACAGTGACTACACCTATACAGATGTGAGTATAAATAAGTTTATTCACTCTGATTGCTAAATAGAGTTTCTACTCCATGTATAATTTCCCTTGTCTTTTCTACAGGCCATCATGACCTACCTGTTTGATGTTGGTTGTGGTATATGCAAGGTGAGCCTAATTTAATCTGTATTCCAATATTTCTTCTACACTGTGATATTTGCAAAATACTCTCTAAATTCACTCTAACACGCTTAATTCAATGTGCGTGTACCGAAATACCTTTTATCATAAAAAAAATTTGGGGCCTATTAAATTAAATAAGGCTGCTTACTATATAGGGCCATCATACATATATTGGCATTGGTTATAAATGTAATATTTGCCTGTGATGAGCACAATAGATCAAGTGCATAGCTGTGAGGCGTACAGCTGAAGCCTCAGCCAGCATTTTATAATGTTTGCTCATCTGTCTAACACACTCTGATAGTCTACTGAGTAACCACCCTGCTAGTGCATCTCCCAAATATTGTGTGTGTGTGTGTTTATGTATTCATTATCAGTGTTCACATGGAAAGCCTCACATGTAAGTTAGAGGGCAACCATCACTTCTCTTGAAATATGCATAATGGAAAAACATTGAAAATCACCTATAACTTGTGTGTTGTATTCTTGTTGTTTCTCATGAAATGCTCTGTTTTCTTTCAAATTTAAATTAAATGGTTAGCATAGGGCTGGGCCGTTATCAGCCACTGCAAACATTGCATTTGAGGAGAAGAAATAGAAACTTTTAAGGATAGTCACTGAAGTAAGAATTGCTGATTATTCACAGTGAATTCAAAGTGAATTTAGAATTATGGTCAAAATTGCTGAAAAGGAAGCATCGCTGACTTGAGACATGTTTCCAGTTTAGCTATTTTCTTGAATCTTACATGTTAAATTCCTGACATAACTCACTTCAGTGAATAACAATGATTGTTTAATTACTCTTGTAGGTTTTCTCTATGCTAAACGCCAGGTGCAAAGGACAGCATTTATGTATGACCTGCAATAGCATATGGCAGAATATCAGTGTCTGGAAACATTGGTGTGTGGTTGATAACAACATGCGTGTCCAGGACAGAATAATATTTCTACATGAAGGATACATTTAGGATTTTCAAATACTAGATCATCACTTGTATGTATGAATATCAATGGGCTTACATCTGTTTGTGAATGAACAAGTGCAAGATTGGGCAAGTGTCAACAGCTTGCTGTGAATGAGTCAGAGAGATAAGGAACACAGCCATTGTAAGTGGGTGAAGGCTATAATAACTAGCGTAGTCTGTGCACAATTAACTTCATGTATAATAATATTGAAGTTATTTGTTCTATGGGTACATAACACTGGCCCTTTAAATACTGTTGAGATACATTTCCCATGATTCTCAGCTAGATATTGCTATGGGATGGAGTTAATACTGTTCTCCATTTTTTTTTTTTATGTGCTGTATAAAGCCCGATCAAGAACATGTTAATATCTGTGCTCTCAGTGTTCTGGATTCTGAATAATGTAATCTCCGGGAATGGTACATAGCTTTGAGAGCTGTGCTGTTCCGTTCCATAGACTGAGCTCCAATGACTGCCTGTACATTGTGTTTATCTCACATTGTTCACATGTGGTGGTTTGTGCAATGTTATAACACAGTTGTAGTGTTTACTGGCGAGGCTGTCTAAGCTCCTTAAATCCTTTTTCCACTGTAGTTAATAAAATTATTAGTTTTAGGGATTTATTTACTTATTGTAATTCCAAAGAGAAACGCCAAGGTTAAATACTTTACAGGAGGGTGTTTTAAATGTGATCCTAGACCAAATGCAGTCGCAAATCCCTCACAAATTGTGGCCCTCAGTCTCAGATTTTCATTTTAATTAAATGTGGCGTACTATACATTACGATATCCATTCAAGGTCTTCAGGTTCACTTATAATCATTACATTATAGCTTAAGTAAAGTAAAAATTTATATTAGAAATCCTACTAGATTAAAATAGTTTTTCCACTTAAAAAAACTACACAAATTAAAAAAAAAAAAACATTTATTGCATAAACACACAATATAAGACGACTCAAAAAGGCAACTCCCATAGTTGACCCAATAAAATAAATGTCCTGCAATAATCAAAAACAAATGGTTTTAATTAGAAACATAGAAACATAGAAACATAGAATGTGACGGCAGATAAGAACCATTCGGCCCATCTAGTCTGCCCAGAAACATTCCATAAATAATCCCATGTCAGAAGGATTGTAAAAAATATCTACTGTTCTAGTATTTCTTAGCAGTGGTGCTAACTAGAGGCATTGCTAGAATTTAAAATCACCCAGGGCACAAGCCTAAAACACATATTGGTGACCCCACACCAAAGCCCCCACCCATGGTCCTTCCCAAAATCCACCCCTTAATAAAGCTTTTGACGGACTCACTGATACATACATAAATATACACACTCTGTTAGATACGCACAGATACCTACATAAACCCATAGATACACAAACACGCACAAAAGTATGCATTCACACACAGGACCACAGATAAAGGTACATACACACAGACATGCACTATCATACACACAGAAAGGCACATCCAGACACACACATAGGAGAGCACAAACAAAGACAGGCATGCACGGGAAAAGACATATACACACACATACTCATGCATAGACACACATACACAGCCATATGCATAAACAAGCATGCACAGTCAGATACATAGACAGACACACAGGCACAGAAATTCACAGACGCACACAGCGACACATACACAGAAACTCTGACACACATACACAATAAGGCTCAGAACAACACACAAAGTACAAAAATGGATGCTGGTTCCTTTCCCAGTATCAAAGATCAAAGTATGTCTCTGTGCAGGGGGTAGTAAGTGAGCAGGCCACGGTGTCTGGCTTACTCTTTCAGGGCTGGCAGCCAAAAGCCTCTTCCTGTTTAGTGTGAGTAAGGGAGCATTTGGAGTAAGCCGCCGGCCCTCTGCTTCGTCTTTAACTCAGGCATCTCTGTAGTTCCATTCTGCTGTCCCTGCCCCGTCTCCTCTGTGTATCTTAAGAAAAAGGAGAAGCAACAGTTAAAAAACACAGGGACACAGGAAGAGGCTTTGTCTTTATTTAAAAGGTGCTGCTTTGACTCTCGGCTCAGACTCTCTGAGGAGACCAGGCAGGGAGAGCAGAACAGAACTAGAGATCTGATGGGGTAAATGAGAACCGGGGCTGAACAGCGGCACATTTGGGGCTGCAGCCCCCCAGCCCTCCCCTGTCTTTGACACTGGTGTTAACTAACAATGCAATTCCATTTTGATAACATGACATTCCATTTCATGAAGATGGGTCTGTCACCTATGCTCCGCTGAATCAAAATATTTTTGGCAAATGTCAGATAATAATTGTTGAAATAACTTTACGTTCTGGCCTTGTACTGGTTGGTCTCATATCTCATACTTTTTTTTTTTTTTTTTTTACACTTGAATTTTATTGGAGTTTAAATACTCAAAATACAACTTAGACTTGATATGTAAACAATAACAATTTTGCATATAAGTAATATCAATTTTGCATGTATATTGTTTCAGTTTTGCATCAACATCGTCTGAACAACTGACATTGGCTATAATAGGTTTTTGTCTATGTGTCTGGCAGTTGCTAGAGGTTAACATGGGCATATGGTAACGATAGCCTTAGGGGCATTATGCAGTAGGTGTATTGCTACCCAGGGGGGTGTGAAAACCTCTGTGTACAGGAGCTGTATGGGGCTATGGTGGTCCTTTTGGGTCGAGTGTCCCAGGGCTGGTCTCTCGTGCGCCGTGCCATATGGCTGCTAGGGCCTGCGAGAGTCCATCAGGTGGAGTGTAGTTTCCACATGCTAATGCTTAGGGCTGTCTCTTTGTTAGAGTCGGCGCGTCGGTGTCTTTACTCGGCCCCTTGTTGCTCTTGGGCTGATGCTGCACTTGGTTGTCACCCCCACCGGTCTCTCTCTTGTCCGCATGTTGTAGGTTCAGCTTCCTGAGGAATATCTCCTGGTCATCGTTGGAGGACAAGGTAAGCATCTGGTCTCCCCGTGGTACCACCAGGGATCCGTCTGCACCCCACCGGTATCTGATTTCAGCTTCCTTTAGTCTTTTTGCTATAGGCGCCAGTTGTCTCCTTTCCACCAGCGCTGCGAATGGGAGGTCCTCATAGAAGGCCACTGTGCTACCATTCAATTGCACTGTGCCGAGGGTTCTGGACCGCTATTGTGTTTCTGGGCGTATCCACTGGCGCTGTTGTGGCTTTGCGGATTCTGAATGCGGAAAGTGTCAGGCCAGGCTCGGCGCTCCCCTTAATGCCCATCACTGTGAGTAAGTGTCTGTGGGGCAATAAGGCTTCTCTTCCAACACTCTCTGGGATGCCTTGGATGCGGATATTCCGCCGTCTATGCCGTGATTCCAGTGTTGTAACAGTTCGCGTAAGTGTCTGGACCTGACAGCTAAGGACTTGCACCATATTATTGGTTTGCTGCAGCTGGTGGTCCCTTGTGTTCTCTCTGGATTCCACCACTGTAAGCCGCTGCTGGAGATCGCCCACCTCCTTTTTTGTGCTCCGCAGGTCTCCACACCTCTCGCATTTCTTCTAGTAAGTCTCTTATGTCCCTCTTTGTTACTGGAGAGGATTCTTCCTCTGATTCTGAGGCTTGGTAGTGGGCCCCATCTTCTGCTGGAGGCAAGGTAAGGTTTTCTCTGTCCTCATGGGAGTCGTCTGAGGTCTCGCTGAGTGCTTCAGGCGCCATTTTGGAGGGAGCTGGTGGAGAAGGCCTTGTAAACACATGCCTAATATCGGGGGTTTTAGGCAGCTCCGTGAGGTGGAAATTCTTATTTTGCACACCGATGATGTCTCTGGGTGGGAGGCTTGTGTGTGGATGCTTGTGGGAGCCGTTTTTCGGGTCTTCGGTCTTTGGTACGGAGCTCCACAGCAGCACGTCCGTTCAGCAAGGCAGTTGGCCATGCCCCCCTCATATCTACCTTGTTATATAAATGTAATGATTTTTGGTATCTGAGACAATCCTTTATGTGGAGAGATAATTAGCTTCATAGATATTATAGGTAATTCTGCATATTTAGTAGGTATGTAAGTCTTTACACAATGCTCACAGCACACTTTTCCATACAAATTTTTGGTTTTGGTTTGGATGAGTCATATTGCAATTAATAAATAGATTAGCTCTTAAAGGGTTAACCTTAGTTTCCAATACTTGGTCTGGTGTCATTTTATTGTCCATCTGGAAAAACAAACCTATTGTGATTGAATTAAAGTCACTGAAGGACTAGAGGTGACAGTGGGATAATATGCATAGTATACTACCACATCATAGTTCTTGTCAAGCTGCCTGATAATATATTTGTTGTTGGCTGTAACCTTACAATTAGGTCGGCATTTGCCACAAGACAGATCAGATACACAGTGCTGAAAAAGCTAAAGAGTGGGGGCATCCAGCCTGAGTCTTTCAATGTGCCGAAACCATTTAAAAGCTTTTTATTTTGTGAAAAAATGCAGCATCAGACATATACTGAAGGTTATTCAACAATGCAAATGAATCTATTACTCATTTCAATGCTTTAAATATTTACTTATATTTGTTTAAAATTCAGCACTTACATGGTTTGTGTGTAGTTTTTTTTATATTATATTACAACATATCCTATTAAAGGCCAATGAAGATCTTTATTTATAAAATATTTTAATGGGAAGGATACATTGAGATTTCTCTCGTTTTCAAGTATGTCCTGGGATAACAATGCAATTCTTAAAGACTCTAATGGAATGGCCTAACCGGTTACCATTAACAAATTTAACAAAGACCTAATGTTAGGTCCCTGTCATCTATGAAATGTGTACCTTGTATATCTCAGGGCTCACAATTTCCACTTAGCTCTAGTCATTGGCAAGTAAAAATGTAGCATTGGTGAGTAGAAATTCACCCTTAGTGAGTCTGCTGTGGATCCTTGCAATGGCAAGTAACTTATTAAGTAACACTCCAAGCACCACTACAGTGTAGTTTTAGTGCCCTGGTTCCACTCCTTGCCTCCTCTCTGCAGGAAGTGAGAGCCTGAAACGCCTGCTAGAAGCTTCCAATCACACTCTTGATCGAAGCCATCAAAGTCATTGGCAGAGACCGAGAGCTGATCTGCACTGCCAGGCTTTACCCATGTTGTGCTCTACAGTAAGGTAGATATCTGCTTGGTTTTAATTTTAAGGACATGTCATCACTAGTGATGTCCCGAACGGTTCGCCGCGGACGGCGAACATATGCGCTGTTTGGTCCGCCCCCTATTCATCATCATTGAGTAAACTTTGACCCTGTACCTCACAGTCAGCAGACACATTCCAGCCAATCAGCAGCAGACCCTCCCTCCCAGACCCTCCCACCTCCTGGACAGCTCACTAAGAATGCAGCTTCACAATGAATGTAAAGTGGATGCTGAGGTACAGGGTCAAAGTTTACTCAATGATGACGAATAGGGGGCGGACCGAACAGCGCATATGTTCGCCGTCCGTGGCGAACCGTTAGGGACATCACTAGTCATCACCTCCAAGACCTGGAGTTGGAAACCCTTGCTTTTGCATCTGTGAGTATAAAAGGGTTATTTACTAAAGTGAGAATTCAAAGTGAATTTCACATCTGGGGTCTATGTCAGCTGTGCTTCCATTTTGGCTGGCCTTAAATTTGAAATTCACTTTGAATTTTCCTTTTAGTGAATAACCCTGTAAGTGTTCTGCTGTGCTAGTTGGATTTGCTCAATTTAACTGTTCTAAATATGTCCTTTTATCTCATAGAACAGTGATTCCTCACAAAAATTGTGGCGCTCTTATTTTGATCTGATCGTTGTGGACACCAGAAAGCCTCTCTTCTTTGCAGAGGGCACAGTCCTACGCCAGGTGGACACTGTAAGTATTTAATAAAATGAAGAATTCTGCACATTATCTCCTACTGCAGTTTGCTAGATTACCACCTTACTCTGGTGAATAAGAATGCAGTCCAGTAATGGTTAAATAGTTCCCGCTATTAATTATCTAACACTTGCTCGATTCTGCATTTACCCTCTGCTTCATAGTGTATTAACAATAGGGGGACAAAAGGCCGGGATTCCAGGTACAATAGTTGTATGGATGCTCCCCCCAAATGGTGTGGTCTTCCCAGCTGATCTCCACTCCTCTAGGACAAAGCTATAGGTAGTTACAAAGGAAACAAAGAGCAGACTGCAGGTACTGAACTAAAACCACATAAATCAACATAAACCAGAAAAGTAACGTAGGATTAGGGGAGATAATAGGTGGAGGTTAGGTGTAGTTAGAGGATCTGTAGTGTGTTAGGGAATTAGAGTCAGCGTTAAGAATTGTTTATTACTAGGGGAATTAGAGTTTTGGTTAGAGGAGATTAAGTTTGAGAGTTACCCCAATTTAAGTTGCCGTGGACTGGAATTGCCATAACGTAGTAACTGAGCTTGTCCAAAACTTACCACACACAACCAACCTGGTTGAGAGAGATGTGACTTACAACACACACCATCTTTAAGGTAGATAAGCCATAAACACAAGCCTCCCATGCTTTAAAAACACCCATTATTAACCTTAACTACCACTCTACCTACATTTTGGGATACACTCTCATTTCTAATACTAGCTATCCCTATACCTACTCCATGGGATAAACCACATCAACAGCAGTTGATACAGCAGTTCTGAACAATCTAATCACAGAATTAATAGATATAGCCATAATGGTGCCACGGTGTAGTATCCCTCTATGACACATGGCTGTCTCATATCTAGATCTAAACATTTTTAAAGTGAGTTCTAAAACAGTAAGAAAAAATAATTTTATTATAACTGGGAATAGCTGCTAACACGAATCCCATGTGACAATTAAAAAAGAAAAGAATAAACATCAAAACAAAAATGTAAAACCTCAAGCTCTAACTTGACAATAACAGACCTGCATAAAATTTGAAAACAGTGAAAGTTTCAAAATCTCTGATTAGAATTGTGTTGCCCTCTAGTGGTTATTAACCAGAATAAACTGTACAAACCTGAACTTTCCTTTCAAGGGATACATTAATATTTTTAATAGGAATTTCAACCTACCAACAGTTGTGCTCAAATGCTACTTGTATAGCTCTTTTATTCTACACAGGTTATAAAATGGTACATGATTTAAAAATAAAGTAGGGAAACAATCAATAAAAGATTAGATGTCTGGAGAGATTTTTTTTTTTAATAAAAAAGGGCTTAAATGGATTCAGCATATATCAGTAAAGAGCACTAAATAAATTGAATTAACTAAAGTAACTCAATTTTACGTTGTTAAATATTTAGAAAAGCACAAAATAAGAAAGATAACATTTTTTTTTCCAAACAATAGTTAATTAAATACAGAATTTTCAAAAGATAGGACAAATTGTCCAAATTTAACTGGAGTATTTTACTGTCCTAGCCAGTCTAATCAACATGTTTATCCCAGTAGGATTATATATTCCGACAGACTGAGACACCTTAGAGCAGGGGAAGGCAACCCTCGTTACTCCAGATGTTTTTGACTACATCTCCCATAATGCTCTTACACCTATGATGCTGGTAAAGCAACGGGGGGATGTAGTCCGCAACAGCTGGAGTGACAATGGTTGACTACCCCTCTCCCAGAGGGTCACTCATATGCTATTGGGTCACTCATCCACTAACTACACTCTTCTTTGCATAATGAGGTATCACTTCTTTCCAAGTTTTCTTAAATATGTTATTTGAAAATCTGTTTTCTATAATTCAGAATGAAGTCAGGAAAACTCTCATTATTATTGATAATATTGCCATTTATATAGCACGTTACAATATTATAGGGGGGGAGGATTTAACTATAAATAGGACAATTACAAGAAAACTTACAGGAACGATAGGTTGGAGAGGACCCTGCTCAAATGAGCTCTCATCTGTTTTTCCTGCAGAACACCGGAAAGCTGAGGATTGGAACTTATACGGGGCCCCATCAGCACTGCGCAGTGTATTCAGGAGGTAATATTTCCCACACTTGACACCTATGACCAGAGCCACCATAAAAATGTTGGGGGGCACCTACAAAGCTATTGGCCTCCCAACACCCCATGAACAGGCGCACACACACACAAATATGTGCTACTAGACACAGATATATGCTGCTAGATACACACATGCCCACACATATATACCCTCAGACGCACAAATGCATACTCCCAGACACATATATAAATACATTCATATTGGTTTTAGCCACTCTCCTTTTTGTTTACCTTTTGGATGCAGAAAGATGGCTTCCCTGGTGTGTTGTGAGGAGTATACTGTAAAAAGCTAGATGGCTCATTTTGCAATACCACCACATCCATAGAACCCTGAAAGAAAGTGATACAATGTTACATACTTTCCACACTACTGTCCTAGTACAAAGGAACCTGTCAAAGGAAGGGTTTGTTCTACTAAAACTATTTAAGGCAGCCATATCAGAGGAACTATCTCTATGTCCCCAACCAGTACACATAGCAATGCAATGCACTGACAAGCAGATAAGCCCATTGGGAACCTTGCAAGCAAAAGCCATGTGCTCTTGCTTGCCAGAAGACAACATACCCTATTACTTGTCCTCATCGTTTAAAAGTGCTTGACCTGTGCTTGACCTGTACTTTCTGTTAGCCCTACCTGTAACTTCAGATTTCATCTTCTTCTGTTGGTCCATATCTGTAACCCCTGTTTTCCCACTGAATACAAATCAATTTACGGTAAATTGGAAAGTGTACCTGCAGATTTATTCTAAGCATTACATTCTAGTCTCACAAACAACCAGATTAAAATAACAAGCAAATGTGGTTAAAATCCATAATTTGCTGACATTTTCTATTTGTTTAGGTTGTTGAAAAAAAGTTAGCGTTAAAAAATAATTACAAAAGGTTGATCAGTGCATTCCTGCAAATGTATATTTAATAGATCACAAACTAGATCCCTCACTCCATTTCAGGTACCTCTGTGTGTCTGTGTCTGACTCTTGCCCTATCCCTGCATCAGGCTCTTCCGACATTGTGTGTGAACTGCTAGCGGTGAAAGGCAAAGACATTCTTTATATGGGGGATCACATCTTTGGGGACATCCTGAAATCCAAAAAAAGGCAGGGGTGGAGGACCTTCCTGGTGGTGCCAGAACTGGTCAAGGAGCTCAGCATCTGGACTGAGAGAAGCGGTGAGCATTTTTGATTCTCATGGAACCATATACTGTCCAAAACAGTGTTTACTAAAGACCATAAAACACACTGTAGAAAGCATTGTTTGCACTCCTGTGTTCTGCAACGCTATAGTGAACTGTTTAATTGCAAAAATGGAAACGGAACCGCACTCAGTTCACTTAAGACAGGGTGCTTAGCTATACCCAGGGCCTGCACAAGCTCAAAAGATAACAAATACCAGTATTAGAAAAAGGGTCCAGGCACTCTGTCTTCAGGCACCTTTAATAGAACATGCAATGTTTCAACTCCCAGTGGAGTATTTGTTAAGCTGGTTGATGTTCTAATAAAGGTGCCTGAAGACATTGGAGTGACTGGACCCTTTTTCTAATATTGAACTGTTTAGTCACTAGGTGATGTCTCAAATAGTGAGAACTCTGCACGTATGCTGTTCTTAAATAGATCACTTAATACTTATCTTTGTTGAAGTCTTCTTCATATCTCATAGTTTCTCAGTGAATTCCAAGTGAGGTTCAAATTTAAGGCCAAAGTAGCAAATTGGAAGCATAGCTGACTTAAAGAGTTTTTCCATTTAAGCTATTTTGACCTTAACCCCTAAAGGGAATCATGATGGTATATTTTCGTCATGTGTCCTTAATGGGTTAAATTTAAAATTTACTTTGAATTCTCACTTTAGTGAATAACCCGGTTTCTTATTTATTGATTCAGAATGAAACCATCTAATTGCTATTTCCCACTGCTCTGTGAGTGCTGTAGGCCAGTAATCACAACAGTCGTTAAATAGGAGCGGATGCGCGCTATGTTTTTGTGATGGAAACGACAGGATTTGGCAATTGACTGGACATGAGGGGTTAAGGAGAGGTTGGAGTCAGTGATGTTATTTGCTAAATAATTTCATATATGAAAAAGGCTGATACAAGGTACAGATGGTTTTATTCCATAGTATAAATTCTAGAGAGGTGACAGTTGTTCTTTAAACTATCTTTTTTTCCCCATATTTAATTCTCCCATAAAAAAAAGGATATGTCAGTTACCTTGCATGATAAAATATGATGCTGGTACATATGAATGTTTCTGCTTTAGTAACCTTGTTTTACAGCTTTCACTGTTTTAAAACAAGTCCTTTTTTCAGAGCTATTTGATGAATTAAAACGTCTGGACATCATTTTGGCTGAGTCGTATCAGTAAGTGTCTTGCTTATGAGGGGATGTAAGAGCTGTTGCATAGTCTCCTGTCCTTGTGTTGGGCCTTGGGATGTTTATTCTATATTCTATTCATAAGAATCCTTACTCTGACTGCCTATATTGACCTTAATTTCTTGCGATTCTTAGAATGTGCTTCTTACTTGTAGCAACATCATTAAGTCCTTGAGTGTGACTCAGACGGGCTTTACTGAATTGTAAAGGGGAATTTTGAGTACTAGTAATTCTCAGAATAACATTCCAAGATCTTTCACCGAGCTGGAATGAGGCCTTAGTGGTTCCATGCTGTCTATACTGGGTTAAATGAGAAAATCTCCATCCCTGCACTGAGACTCAAACTCTTCAAACCAATGTTTATCAATGTGTCTTTCATGTCTCTGCATATAGGTTCCTATATATTTGGAACCATTTTAGATAAATTTTCTTTTCTCCTTAGGCATATGGACAGTGGAAGCAACGAGCATCCCAACATCAAGGCGATACAGAAGCAGATCCAGGTATTTTTTCCACCAATTAATCAGAAAATGAATAGCCTCAAATGGACATATCAAAACCAGATACAGTGACAAGTTATTTACTAGGGAAACAGTGCCACAAAATGTACTGCTTACAACAGAAATTCAAATCATCTTAGATATATAGATGACTCTGCTCCTGCCTCGTTAAGGCTCATGCATCACCGTATTGTAAATTCCATTGGAGGAGAGGGCTGGAAACTTTTTGATGCTGGGGTCCAGTAATCCCACTTTTTTTTTTTATACGTTTTTGAGATCCTGGGCCACCAGGGCTGCACACAAAACTATACAGTACTGTGCTTGCTATATAAACACTTAGAATGAAATTATACATACATAAATCTTAAAAACCCTGATAAATTACTTTTAATTCTTTCAGAGTCCGTGTGGGTAATACAAATCACTAATATTAAACATGCTAGAGAATTGCTGATTGCTTTGGGATTTGAATAAATAACATATACCACAGCACAGTAGAAACAAATCTCTAATCAAGATTTGAAATCTTTCAATTTGAAAGGAATGAAACAAACGATATGGTGGAAAAAAAAACTGTTTGTTTTCCTCTCTGTGCACAGAAAGCCACCCATGAAATGGATATGTGTTACGGGAAGATGGGCAGCTTGTTCCGCTGTGGCTCACGACAGACTCTCTTCTCCAGTCAGCTGATACGCTACGCAGATCTCTATGCCGCCTCCTTCATAAACCTCTTGTATTACCCCTTAAGCTATTCCTTCCAGGCTCTCCCAGTGTTGGTAGGTACATGACTGGTAGAAGGATTTCCTGATTGTGCACAGGGGTAAATAATCAAACGGGGTTGTGTTCTAAGAAACTCTCCCTTTTCATCCAGATAAAGCATGGTGAGATTAAAAGTTTACTGAGCCATGCTGCCTGTATTAATTTCTCCTTGGCACTCTGATTTTGTACGTATTTCATCCCATATAGTTCTTCCTCTTTTAAAGTGTAGAGAGAGGTAGACGTGCAATTCATTTTGGTCCGAATGTGAATTCGGACGAATTTCGGGTAATTCGGACATTCGGGTACTTCCGAATGTCCGAATAGATGAATTGCCGAATAGATGAAGTGCCGAAGTTCTGAAGTTCCAAAGCACAGTATTGCCTAAGAACTAATATACTTACCCAGTGGAAGAATGAAGAATGTTACACTGTATACAATTTTAAATAAAAAGCATACAAACATAGCCAGGATTCAGCTGTGAGCATTTGCAAAACTTACAACAATCAAGTAACATACATTCATATAAAATGTAAGTTACTTAGCCAGTCAGTGTAATGACAGGAATGAATAAGTAGATAACTCCCTAATTCCCACGGTATTAGGGAGCTATCTACTAAAAGGCTGAAAGGCCTAAATTAGGCTTTCAGCCAGATTTACTAATACTAAAGATTACTTAGTATTAGTAAATTATGCCCCTACTCGCTATACTGCGAGTAGGGGCATGTCTATCAAACAGTGAGCCGCTAGTGGGGGCTTCTAACCTGAAGGGGGACCTATTGGCCCCCACCCCTGAACGGCGGGTGGGGGCCCTACAGTAAAATAAGGGAGGGACCTAATATCCTCCCCTCTGGCCCCCACCCCTGAGCGGCGGGTGGGGGCCCTAAATACCAATGGGGGGGGCCTATTGTCCTCCCCTTCCCCCTGGCCCCCACCCCTGAGCGGCAGGTGGGGGCCCTAAATAAAAATGTTACCACCCCAGGTGACTAGGGGTCCCCAAACCCCTGGTCACCCCTTTCCCCCTCCTCCCCCCCAAAAAATTAACCCCTACCTACCCCCCTCACACTAAAAATAATGAGGGAGGGACCTTTAACTAAGTACCTGTAAAAAAAAATATAAAACTTACCATTTGATGTCTTCTTTCTTCTAACATCTTCTTCTTTTTTCAGCCCCCAAAAACTTTTAAAAAAGCACCTTAAATTTTTTTTAAAAAACGAGCGCAAAAAAAAGAAAATCCATCTTCACCCATGGAGGGCTCCACTCAGACTGAGCTCTGCAGGGCGGGGGAAGGCTTATAAAGCCTTGCCCCGCCCTGCAGTTAGACTCAGAGCACTCTGACAGTGTAAGTCTCTTCATTTGGACAGGTAAATGAAGAGACTGACAGGTAAGTCTCTACATTTACCTGTCACAACACTCTAAATGGTTGGCTTGAAATCCACCAATCAGTGCTCTGTGTCATTTTACACAGCGTGGGAAAGTTCTTTGGAATTTTCCCACGCTGTGTAATTTGACTCATAACACTCTGATTGGTGGATTAAGTAACCAATCAGAGAGTAATGAGTCAAATTACACAGGTCACATTAGGTCCCCCCTTATTAGTATTTAGGGCCCCCACCCACCGCTCAGGGGTGGGGGCCAGGGGGGAGGACATTAGGTGTCCCCCCTTTTTTACTGTAGGGCCCCCACTCACCGCTCAGGGGTGGGGGCCTGGGGGAAGGACATTAGGTCCACCCCCTTATTAGTATTTAGGGCCCCCACCCACCGCTCAGGGATGGGGGCCAGGACATTAGGTACCCCCCCCTTTTCTAATTTAGGGCCCCACCCACCACTCAGGGGTAGGGGCCAGGGGGGAGGACATCAGGCCCCCCCTCTTATTTTACTGTAGGGCCCCAACCCACTGCTCAGGGGTGGGGGGCAGGGGGAGGACATTAGGACCCCCCTTATTAATATTTATGGCCCCCACCCACCGCTCAGGGGTGGGGGCCAGGGGGAGGACATTAGGTCCCCCCCCTTATTTTACTGTAGGGCCCCCACCCACTGCTCAGGGGTGGGGGCCAGGGGGGAGGACATTAGGTCCCCCCCATTATTAGTGTTTAGGTCCCCCACCCACCGCTCAGGGGTGGAGGCCAGAGGGGAGGACATTAGGTCCCCGCCTTATTAGTATTTAGGTCCCCCACCCACTGCTCAGTAGGGGCAAAATTTACTAATACTAAGTAATTTTTACTTAGTATTAGTAAATTTGTCTGAAAGACCAATTTAGGTCTTTCAGCCTTTTGGTAGATAACTCTCTAATACCGTGGGAATTAGGGAGTTATCTACTAAGCGGCTGCACGAGAAGTCCAGAAGTTCTGAATTGTTGAAGTCCCGAATTTTGGAATGCTGAACCGAACTGAAAATTTTCTCCATGCACATGCCTAGAGAGAGGTATCTCCTGGCCTAGTTCAGAGCAAGATCAAAGGAACATTATATTGTTAGAAATACAAACATGTTTTTCTAATGCTATAGTTTTAATCTATCTCTATTAGTGTCCCCCCCTCCACTGTGTAAGTGTGGCAAGGGTTAGTTTTACTTACCTTTCAGCCCCCACCGAAATTGGGTGGCTTGTGTGCACTCACAGCAAAACGCCATGGTGCTCAAATCATCACCATCTGACTGAAATAGCTGAATTTTACTTGATCATTTCGGACGAATAATCTACTGGAATTTCCCATCTATAGCTAATTTCTGTTGCATGCATGTTAAAGACTTGATTAAGCTCAGGTAAGTACATTATTTAGCTTAATGATTTATTCAAAGACAAGAGGGGCTCAAGAGAAGACATCAGATTAGTCAAGGATATTTTGGTGCCACTTGGCTTTGGTGGTAAGGATTGTATTGGGGTTAGGGTAGATTAGCAATAGACCAAAGCAAATTAATGTTTCAAGGGGCAGTTGTCTAAGGTCACGTTATGGTTAATCCTGTTCTGCTTGCAATCCATTCTCCAAACCCTATACATGATATCCATTTTACAACATTTTTTTCCCCAAGATGGCCCATGAATCCACTGTGGACCACATCAGCATGGATGGACCAGACTGCAATAAGATGCTTGGACAGCAGTTGCAGCATCTCAACTTGTATGGAAAAAAGGTTTGTAAGCACATATATTAACATAGTTCACCTACACAGCTGATATCATCATAAAGTGGACTTTCCATAACGAAAATATATTGATGGCAAGGTTTTTCAGATAGATACATTCAATCAATATAATGTCTTGTGGAAACAAGAAGAAAATTTACAACAATGGAGATTTCATTGTTGGCTTTGTGCAGCTGCCCCACCTCCACGTTACATGTGACATTCCTCCATACCTAGTGTGCAGTTACACTTGAGCGGTTTTGGGTGCCAAGTGAGTCATTTCTGGTGGCGGGAGTGGATATGTGTGTAATAGATATTTACCGTATTTGTAGGTGAAATAGAATTTAAAAAAACAAACATTTGAGCATTGATAATGGGAAAATTATACAATGATGTTGTTTTGGAGGCATTCATAAACCATATGTCCCAACATCGGCAGTCCAAACAGGGGGAGATCCCGTTTCTTAAGGAGGTGGACCGTTCCACCTTACTGGCAGGGAATACACACAAGTGGGAGGCTGGGTGGACTTAATTTAAAATAAAAAGTTTGTGAGAGAAAATGTGTGTCTGTCTGTCGATGTGTGTGTCTCCGTCAGTGAGTGAGTGTGTAAGTGAATGTGTGTGTATGAGTCTTTTAGTGAGTGTGTGTCTTTCAGCGAGTTTGCGTATCTACGGGTTTTCGTCTGTCAGCGAGTGTGTGAATGTGTGTGTGTGTGTGTGTGTGTCTGTCAGAGAGTGTGTGTACATTTTTGTGTGAATGTGTGTGTCAGTTTGTAAAATCAGTGATGTGTCTGTTTGTAAGTGTGTGTGTGTCAAATCAGTGAGTATGTTACGGTACATCTGTCAGTGAGTGTATGTCAGTGTATGTGTATCTGAGAGTGTGTGCCTGTCTATGAGTGGGTGTGTCAGTGTGTGTTGGTTAAACAGTGTGTGTGTGCCAATGACTGTGTTTCTGTCAGTGAGTGATGTCAGTGCATGCGTGCATGCATCAGCAAGGGCATGTGTCTGTCAGTCAAAGTGCGTGTTGGTATTAAATAGGAAGAGGTGCAGCCTTGACAGGAAGGGGTAAGGCATATTTAGATTAGGGTGCCCGAGTTTAGTCATACCTAGGGCAGCAAAAGAAAACACAAAATACACTGGTTGGGAGTCGTGCATAAACTACTGAACCCTTTGTCTTCTAATTTATCATGCCTTCACACCCCTTTTAATAGCATTATTTTCCCTTAATAACCGTTATTTGTTTTGTATGAGGATAAAACAGCATACACAGAGAGAGAAATAACTCTATCCAAGTCCTTTACTACATAGACAGTGCTTTAAAAACAATATTGGCCAATAAATTGGCCTTATTCAATATAGAGCTGGGTTCTCTCATTCAGTTTAGTATACCTGAATTGTACAGTTTAGAAGCAAAACTGTGTTCATTGCATAACCGTCAATCACCTCCAATACATTTATATAACAAACATTACAATTTAGATCTGAATGAACTGTGGCATCTAAAACAAAAATACAGTGTTGTGGAAAATTGATGAGCAATATGCAGATCACAGACCAACATTGCAGAATTACAAACATTTTTCCAGTTCTTCAGAATTGTTTTAGCTCAGCTACTTAGACCTAAATGTCCCAATACTTTGTCACTTCTGCACAATTCATAGATTAGCAAGGAAATCCATTATTGATAGACCATTCCATGTCTTCATGGTCTTCCAAATTTGTTTAATTAGAAATTTAGTATGGCCTGTTTAGATGAAAACACTATCTATTCCTTCCTGTAATTGGACGTTTGTTTTTGTGGCAGAGGCTAAAGCAACTGATGGAAGAAGCAAGTGAGGAGGACGAAGATAATTGAGATGTTTACAATCATTACATTCAGCCGATTATTTTCAGTACAGCAGGAATACCTCAAGTCACTGAGCACCTACAGTTTATTCTCCAGGACATAAATACTCTCGTCAGAGACTCACAGTCCATAAGTATTAAGTTGTCTTAGGAGGACCACACCATCCAACTGTTCTGAAACCCTCTGCATCTGCTTCATATATAAGCAGATAGCACATCTAGACCTGGAAAGGCCAGCACTGGAGTCTCCCCCTGTTACCGAACTACAACTTCAATCATTCTCAGCCAGATACAGAAAGGCTTAAGGGTGATAAACTCTGGCATAGTTTCACACATAAATGCATTAACCAACAGGTTAATTTGTAATAATTCATGATAAATAATGTTTACTACCAGCTTTCATCTGAATGCCATTTTACTTTCATTACCCTTGTTCTTTTTCAAACTAACAAAGAATGACTTTACTAAAGAAAATGGAAGCTTCTATAGCTGTAACCACGTCATTGTTAATGTGATGTTAAATGTTGTGCGTGCCGGGATCACTTACCAACACCAACTAAACCTTTCCCTTTCTGAGCTTTACAGTGTGTCCATTCTAGCAATGATTGTATAACATTGAAAGTAGGTGTATATAAATCAATTTACCTCGCCTGATCGAACTAGGCAATAGGTACTGGCATTTTGTATAAATTACAATCAAAATTCTCTTAAATCTACTTGCCTTGCCTGTATTGCCCATGACCATGTAAGTGGTTCCCACTCAGGTCTGTGAGGCCAAGCAGACCTCCCCATATTTTCACCATTGAATTAAGTACGTAGGTTTACCTGAGATATGATTGGAATCATGCAAAATATAATGTGATGCAAATGATGGCCTAGCTCTGTCTTTTTTTACAAGCCAGATGTCACAATGAAATCATCTTAAAGCAAGCATGTCAAACTCAAAGGCTTACATGGGCAAAATAAACAAGGTTTATGTTTGTTTGGGCCGTAAAAAAACAGAAACTTCAGTTTTCATAGAAACATAGGTTTATTTAGAAAAGTACAGTATAATAAAAGTTGCCTGACACTGGACGTCTTCACGCTCGTAGGGCTTCAAAGTAAACAAAAGAGCAAATTTATTTTAAGGAGACATGCATTTGCATATAACCAATGTTTCAGTTCAACTACCTTTTTGGTAATGGGACTCAAATGGTGAATGTATGCTGTCGCACAGCTGTAAAAAAACAACTGATGTTATCTTGTTGATTTTGAAGTGCTATAAGTGTGTTCTTCCCTTTGGCTGAGATCATCAAACTTGATAATCCCAGCCAATCCAATGCTTTCCCATAGGAAAGTATTGGGAGGCTATTGTGCATTTGTGGCAAAAAGCTGCGTGGCCAATCAGCATCTCCCTGGGGAGCTTTCAGAGCCTCCATTCAGACCCAATCTAATACACTGCCCCCCTCCCTCCACTCTAATATGCTGCCCTCCCCAATTTAACACACTACACAGGAAGGTCCCCCAAGCCCTTCTTCCCCTACCTTAAGATAAGCAGCCCATCCTCCAGTTCCAGCCCTGCTCTTATCTGCTCAAGCAGGCCAGAGGCTCCTCTGGCACTGCGAGCAGGAGTGAAGAGGGAGTGGCTGGCCTGCTCTACAGACAGACACTCTGCACTCTTGTGGCTGTGGGAGGGAAGACAAGAATCAGACAGTGCAGGCAGGCTGCAAATATCTTCATTGTGGGCTGCAAGTTTGACATGCTTGTCTTAAAGGAACAAATGTGTATTCCCGACCACATAGGTCTAAAAAGCGGTTTAGGCCCCCTGCTCACCTTTTTCCAGTGCTGCACTCACTCAGTGATCTACTCACCTTTTTCCAGTGCCGCACAGGTCTGTAAACATTTGGCCCTGCCCACACTCTGTTCCCAATCCAATGCATTCCTATAGGAAATAATTGGAAGGCTAGCGCACCAATCAGCATCTTCTTGTAGAAATGCATTGACTTAATACCTCTCTATGGGGAGAGTTCAGTATCTCCATGGAGAGCATGACCCAGGAAGCACCTCTAGTGACTGCTACTGGAGGTGCCTCTAGGCAGTAATGTAAACACTGCCTGTTCTATGAAAAGGCAGTGTTTACAATAAAATGCCTGCAGGGACAGGCAATAGACACCAGAACAACTAAATTCCTGAGATGGCGAACAGATAATTGCAATAAATTCTCAGATTAATTGGCAACCACGTTTGCCCGACCTTACAGCTCCCGATTACTGCGGGATATTTGAAGGAGTGGATGTACATGAACAGCTCAAAGAGAATATCTATGCTTAAATTCAAGAACTAGAGCCTCAAACATTAACTTATGTTATGAACAATGCAATTGAAAGTGTCCCACTTTGCGAGGCAGCAAATAGAGCTCATTTCTAAGATGTCATCTTTCATACCTAGTCAATCAACTCTCCATACATTAAGCATTCATTGTATGTAATATCATTGAAATTGGTTCATTAATAAATAAAAACGTTATGGACTCCTCAAACCCCAATTTGAATTTTAGCCCACCCTGTATAAACTTGAATGAAACATAACCAAAAAGAAAAGAAACATAAATAAAATGGTGTATGCTGTGATAAATTTAAATGGTGAAACATAACTATTGACTAACTCACGTTATGTAGAGCCAATTATAATATTTCTGGCTCAAAAGGAACTGCAGATGGTACCTTATAAGAGTCCACCACACCTCTCCTCTGTGTGTGGAGTGTTTTGGCAGGATTGACCTCAGGAGGGAAATAGGAATGCAGTTAGTGCAAAATCATTAGTAACCTTTTCAATAATATAAGATTTAAATGCACTCATGTGGTTACGAGTACTGATGTCGCGAACCGTTCGTGGCGAGCTCCGGTCAGCTGACACATCCCGGCCAATCTCCAGCAGACCCTCCCTCCTCCTGGACAGCATCCATGTTGAAGGCATCTTCAACATGGATGCTGTCCAGGAGGTGGGAGGGTCTGGGAGGGAGGGTCTGCTGGAGATTGGCCGGGATGTGTCAGCTGACCGGAGCTCGCCGTGAACGGTTCGTGGCGAACCGTTCGCGGGAAGTTCGCGAACGGTTCGCGGCATCACTAGTTACGAGCCTTAAATTTCAGTAACATACCCCACTTTTTGCAGCAAAACGGATTCTTTCGATAGTCACCTCTCTGTTAAATATACTTTTATTTGAATTCAGAAGCAAAATATATTCTTATAGGAAATGTACAATTTAACCCAACAATTTATTTTATATATAAATTGTTAATTTTCATACTTTCATGTTGGTTACCAGATGACCACCATATATCCTGGACACTCTCATATTGATCATCACATGAAAACCTCTTCCCTACTTAATGAGGAATTTACATGGCTCTGGAGAGAAATTGGATAAAATTCCAGCCATTCCTTTGGATTTCTTCTTGGTCAATGATTAAGGTTTGTCAGCATATGAATATTATGTCATACAAAACAGCCCTTTTAATGGGCTGCCCAAGAATATGAGCACGTGATATTTGCCCAGGAAAACAGGAAAGATCCAGTAGATCTGGAAACTCATAATACAATACCTCTATGACTGGCAACTGAGCTTACTCACTTTTTCATACTTAGCTTTCCTGTGCATCCTTAACCCCTTAACGACCAAACTTCTGGAATAAAAGGGAATCATGACATGTCACACGTCATGTGTCCTTAAGGGGTTAAACAGACATATTCACAAGAATGTTTTCTTGTAATCTATTAAGTACTAACAAATGCCGTAGTGTTAGATACATTAGTGAAAAGTGTTTGCTGCAAAAAGTCTGAAGGGAATGATTCTACTCACCAGAACAAAATACAATAAGCTGTAGTTGTTCTGGTGACTACAGTGCCCCTTTAATGAAATACAGTAATACAAATATATCTAACTAGCTACAGTTTAACAATCACTGTTATGTTGTGATTTATAACTCAAATCTCACTGCCTGTGTCAGTGAGGCGTTTTTCCCCCCTGCTAGACCCAGGTAAAGGAGGACGACACACTACTAATAGTGACAGGCTGTCACCCAGGGGCAGACTTATGCCCCCCACCCCACTCCCAGACTGCACAAAACTCAATTAGTACAGATGTTAAAAGAAACATGACAACAGCTATTTTTTGCAAAGGCCAATCTAATCTTGACCAGCTAGCTTTTGAGAGATGGCTGTTGTTGGCGAGGTAGATTTTGTGGAGTATATACTTTATTTAGAAATAAATGTATTTCCTCCCCTTTACCATCACTAGCTGCCATTGTCTAGCTCGACATCCAATTATGTTCAGTCCGCACTGCCATAGTGCATAACTGCATGATACTCTAGCTGGGTATGATTATTTACAGTGATTTACGTACTTTACATCTTTTAATAAATATGCTTTAGTTGGATATGAAAAATACTATCAGCTGTGTGAAATTAATAAAGAGGTGACTATATTAGACTGCAGCCACCATAATGTGTACTCTGTTTTCAGACACTGATGCATTTGTACTTGAAAAACAAACTGTTCAAGTTTTTAAATTAGAACAATACATAGTCAAAAAAAAACATATATGCAACGACTTAGCTATGCCTTTCGTTTAGGTGTACGCTGGCTTATATTGTAAAAGAAATAAAATGCATATGGTGTTTAAACAAATCCTGTCGTTTATTGTTTAATATAGTCATGCTTTCCACATGGCTGTGTGCAATACATATTAATTATGGGATTTTTCATATAAATTAGAAGAGCTCCATACCTTTTCTCAGGTAAAAAAAACAAGAACACTTGGGAACTGTGGTTTTGGAGATAAGAAACTATTACCAGGCCAGCTGGCTCAACCCAGCTTGTATCTAATGTTTTGGTAATGCTGTCCAGGCCCGATTCCTGTCACGCATTAGCTCTGCAGTGGTTTGCTGTAGGTTTGTGAGAATCTGTTTAATTCCAAAATCTGAAATTCACTCTGCATTACAGGCAACTCACACTTTGGTGCACAACCTTGTCAGCATTCCTAGAGTTTAGCTACATTATATTAACCAATTCAAACTTCTACTCAATAACAGTAAATGTACTGCTGTAAACTTATTTATGCAGGTCTTATTGGATATTGTAAAAATTACACGACTCTTGCATTCTAGACATGCTTTAATAATATAAATGCAGGTTACACCTACAGTTTATAGACATAAGAGATAATGGGTACTTCATAATTTGTCCAAGTTCATACGCAAAACACTTCGGACAAATTTGAATAAGAGCAAAACCACAATATCTTGGTGTAATGGGAGGCAGTAGCTTTCATTTCATACTTTGCAAAAAACAAAAAACAAAAAAAAAAAACAGTCACTACAGAATCCATAGTATTGTTTTAAAAATGAAATGCATGAGAAAACTTAAAAAGTAGTAACAGGGCAAGCCAAAAACGCCCCCCACATATACCTGTAGGACATTTAAATACTAGATTAATTTTATTTTACATATGGCAGACGTGCACCCTCTGGTCAGTCAAACTTATCAAAAAGATATTGGATTGGGTGTGTGCTTCAGACTTTAAGCAGGGTGTAAACCTCAAGGCCTAAAAGATCCAAAGCAAGTCAGTTTTGGGGCATCCGTGCAGAGGTGAGTTAAACAGTTTCAATTAATCTGACTTCTCCACCTGTGCGTAAGCAGGAATATCCAGTCCTGCCATTTTGCGTTCTTAACCCGATATATAGACAGAGGTACGTAAAAATTTGGGCATTAAAACATACTGTACACTTCACACCAATTCTCTTACAGTATCTCTTGTATGTATATGTACAGAGATTTACACTGCACACCAGTTCAATGGGGGTAGTTAGCCCCCTACTTCCACTTGACATGAAGCAGTTGTGTTTTATCTTGAAACTGTAATTTCAAGAACATTGGACATACTATAAGAATGTATTGGCCATTAAATACAACAATTAGTGCAGATACAAGTAAATAAATAAGGTAAGTTTAAAAAAACAAAACAACACTCAATAGAGTGAAATTGGGTTAAATATATATATTTTTGCATTGTTTATTGTCCACAATAACATGGGACATATTTAATAACACTGCACAGTAAACATTCTTTTACATTTGCTGAGCGCAATATTTTAGCTCTATTCAATGGGGTGGAGGGATGGTATTGGGGAGACACAGTGAGAACACTGGAACAGGAGATATGGACAACCCTGTTCAGTCTAGAGGACATAGAGAACAATTACACAAGAGGTTAAAAGCAAGTTGAAAGGTTAAAAGTATATGAAATTGACAGTTATGCAATCTCAATTTAACTAAAATGCTGAGAGTACCTTTACAGCAGGGCTGTCCAACCTGCGGCCCGCGTTACAGTAATGTGGCAAAGGGCAAAAAGGAAAGATAATTTGTGTTAAAGGTAGACTGCAGTAGAGACAGAAATGACACGGTCATTTGTGAGTGTCCAAGACAATGGCTTTCTACAAGAAAAATGCAGACCAACAGTATTTCTATAAGTGGGAGTTGCAGATGTGGATATGAACAAATGACCGGTTAAGGTCACCAGAAAGAGACACCGAGCAATAGTCCTAAGTGTGTAATCAAGACTAAGGATGGCTGAGGAGAGTTGGAACGAAGAGAGTTAGTCTGGTATATTACAAACCACTCAAGCAACCTCCATGCTAAATGGAATAAAAGCGATGAGACTGAAGTTAGATACAGTTAGACGAGAATATTTTGTAGGATGGGTGTAATTATTGCATGCTTGAAGAAAGCGGTGAAAAAGTTACATAACAGAGAGAGACTGAAGATCCAGTCTTAAGACTCAAATCTTACATTTTACTCATATTGGCAGCCGGTTGATGGAAGGTAAAAATTACCAAATTTGCTAGTAGTCTTACTGGGCTAAGAAGACCATGTATAAGTGCAAAGTAAATAATTTTAGTCTCAATTCAAATCTGGAAAGAAAAAGCAGCAAACACCATACCAGTAAATTCTTGACATAGTCTATTAGCAAAACCATCTGCTAGATAAAAGAGATGTTAGCGTGAACTGGTATTTCCGGCTTATGGACTTTCTCACTGGTGTCCAGTTGCACGGAAATAGAAGAATGACAAAATAAAGTTAGCCTAGACTCTTAAAAAGCCATATTATACATTTCGTGCAACGTGCAGCAGGTAATGCAGGCAACCTTGACACAGATGCTCAGAGTACATAGATGCATGGACAGCCAGTGCACTGTACTTTCTTTTACAAGCCATAAGTGGTATCTGGGGTATGTCATACTGGTCCTTCACTCTGTTCGGTAGAGTCTTGCTTTATCATCAGTTCAAGAAGGTGTAAGTCTGCCTCCTCTGGTAGAGCTTCATTTCTTGTGTACAGGTAGGCATCTGTATCTGCCGTGTCCAACAGCTCTGTAAGTGAGGCCACTACGGTGTCATGTTCCTTCAAGGTTTCTGGATAGCAAGACATTGCCTGGTTGATCCGTAAAGACCTCCGTATAGGGGTTAGGAATTTCCACTCTTGGCTGGCAGGCTCTTTCTTTTTGCTGCAGGGAAAAGTATGTCATCTTAATTATACAGGTTATAGATGAATCATTAACTGGAAGATATAAATTACATTTGTGTTACAAGAAGCACTCCAGGTTTATCACTCATTTTGTTCTATTTTAATCCATTGCAGTGAATATGTTAAAGGAACACTGGTGCTGGAGAGAAGAAATATTTATTTTTGTTTTATTTCTGTTTTATATTAGCAGGCAGGCAGTCTAAAGCCAAGCATGGGCATCAATACAGTAGTATTAGGAATGCAGATATGGATTTCTAAAGCTACAATGTCCCCTTTAATTAGCACCCTCATCACATCACAATAAATCCCTCTTTTGCAACAATTAAATGGACTTTCTTCCAGTGCATGAGATTGCATGCTGGTACTTCCACAAGCATTCCATGGCACAATTATCTCATACAAATGTGCACAATAGATCTTAAAGGAACACTATAGTCACCTAAATTACTTTAGCTAAATAAAGCAGGTTTAGTGTATAGATCATTCCCCTGCAATTTCACTGCTCAATTCACTGTCATATAGGAGTTAAATCACTTTGTTTCTGTTTATGCAGCCCTAGCCACACCTCCCCTGGCTATGATTGACAGAGCCTGCATGAAAAAAACAAACAAAAAACTGGTTTTACTTTCAAACAGATGTAATTTACCTTAAATAATTGTATCTCAATCTCTAAATTGAAGTTTAATCACATACAGGAGGCTCTTGCAGGGTATAGCAAGCTATTAACATAGCAGGGGATAAGAAAATCTTAATTAAACAGAACTTGCAATAAAGAAAGCATAAATAGGGCTCTCTTTACAGGAAGTGTTTATGGAAGGCTATGCAAGTCACATGCAGTGAGGTGTGACTAGGGTTCATAAACAAAGGGATTTAACTCCTAAATGGCAGAGGATTGAGCAGTGAGGCTGCAGGGGCATGTTCTATACACCAAAACTGCTTCATTAAGCTAAAGTTGTTCAGGTGACTATAGTGTCCTTTTAAAGCAGCCTCCTATATCTAGAGGGTGGCATACAATCGAAAATAGGACCATTTACGCAGGTGTTGAGGAGAGAATAGCATTTTATTAATTCTCCTTTGTGCAACTGCCCAAGGACATTTAGAGAATTCTAGATTTGAATCAGTACAAGGGGGCCAGCGCCATCCCCTGCTCACATGAGTTTTAGAATTTAACACTAAAAAAGAGGTGATCTTTTTTCCCGACGTAAAAATTATTTTAGAAGGCATCTCATATTAATCACCTTATTGCTTAAAGTAGGTAATTCGACAGTAAAATGGTTACCTGGAAACCACCTGAAACTTGATGGCAGAACCATGCTCACTGGTGGCTACCGCTTTGAAAGGTGTAGATACTCTGTTTATCTTGGTACTTGTTCTGTTCTGATTATTGCAGCATTCTACAGGCTCATCGCCATGACTCTCAATGGCTAAATCAGTTTGAAATCGGACAACTAAAAATATAGAAAAGCCAGCTAAAATTAGGTGAACAGTTTGAGAGAAACACATATACATACAGTGTACATACAGTGTCTTGCAAAGGTACCCTGATCCCTTGAAATAATACATATATCACAAATGTTGAAACAGTATTTTATTGAAAACTCATCTGCTCCAAGAGTACATTTTAAAGTTAAAATTAGATATTTCTACGCAGATATTTTAAAATGGAAAAATGCTGCTTACGCATGTATTCAAAACCCTCTTCTAAATATTTAGTTAACGCACATTTTACTTTAATGACCGCCTCTAGTCATTAGGTGTAAGTATGCACACCAGTCGGGAGTAACTATTTCCTTGGCAGATTTGCTGCAGGCTGTTTCAGCTAAGAGGCTGATGCTGGTGGACTCCAGTAGAATTGAGAATAGGACTTACATCTTTCCTTTGGATGTGCAGCCTGACTTCTAGAGTAGAAATGTTGGATTTTTTCATCATAACGCCAATGTACTTTAAATAAATTATTTTTGCATTTAAATGCGTACAGATAATACACAAAAGTTAAAAGTAAGAATTGGACAAGGGGTCTCAATACCTTTGCAGGGAATTGTGCATAAACACGAATTTAACAAAAGGATATAAAATCACCTTTTGGTTTTTTGTTTGTAGATTTTAAGATATCAAATACAACATCTCTCAGCTCGTCAATTGGCTGTAAAATACAGAATAACGGTGATTAACACAGGTTTGCCATTACCAATATCACATATAAAGAACAAGGTCTTCTTTTAATCCTACATAGACAAAGTAAATTTAAAAAAGGTTTTAACTCTTTTTAGCACCATCTCTTTATTTTTTGGTCCCCATTACAGTTCATTCCTTCCTTTCTGCCCTGTTCAACGTTTTCCTCATTCAAGTAATAAGAGTGTACAGCCACTTCTATTTCCTCATTAAAAAGGGATAAAAAGTAGGGATATTTTCCGTTTACTAGTGAGATGGGTTCTCATTCATCTTTTTCAGTTAATGAAAATGCAATAATTATGGATTGGTTCCCATGCATCAGAAACCAAACATTCTTATTAAGTTTTCTGATTTTTTTATGGCTCTAGATAGAGAATGTTTGCCCCAGTTTGGAGAGGACTTTAAAAAGACTCACCGAAGCTCCAAACTTGACTGCCTTCTCGTACAACTCAATAACATCAAAGATTCCATCTCTCTCAAGAAGTCTGGCTTTACAGACCCAGAATCTTGCAAACTTCTTTGCCTGAGGAATCTTGTCCAAGGTAGCATGTATGTCCTCAGAGGGTACACCCTATGAGGAGAAAATAAAATGGTTGATAGAACAGGAGCACATTACCAAGATCAATTGTTAACCAGCCCCCATCTATCAGTGCTAATTTTGGCAGCAAATTTCAATTTAGTTTTAGTCATAGTCTTTTGACTAAAAAGCCATTTTAATTTTATTCATCTGAATTTTATTAGTCAACTAAATCTCCAGTAGATTTTAATTGACATGACTAAAATCTAATGGGTTTAGTTAAAGCCTCAGTCTCTTTTTCCCATTCCACAGCCCCTCTGTTTATCTTTTTGTCCTCCCAGGCCCTCTAGGCGTCTGTATCTTTTGCCCCTTCCACAGCCAGCCCCACTGTGCAGCGGCAAATGTTAAATATAGTTTTAGTCACAGTCTTGACTAAAATGCCATTTTAGTTTTAGTTGTATTTTAGTCATCTGAATTGTTTTAGAGGAAGGTTGTTTTTCTATATTGTTTTAGTCGACTAAATCTCAAAAAACTTTAGTTGACTAAAATGGTTAGTCGACAAAGAACATTGCCATTTATGTCCTCTGGTTATGCAGCTTCTTACCAAGGTTATCCTACATGTTTTTTTAATCATAAGTAACAAACAGAATTCCTTTCCACTACAAAGAATAACTAATGTCTGAAATAAACTGTTATACTCCCCTCCCCCCATAGCTTTTCTTGCTCGCAGACCATTATCATATGGTAACTGATCAGCAGAAGTCAGCATAAACAAGTGAGATAGTACTGATTTTTATCAAATAAAGTAATGTGAGTGAATAAGCTAAAAAAGCAGCAAGCAAAGTTTCTTATGTTAGATAAATAAATCAGGCTACATCCAACTTAAAATAATTATTCCACCTAAGCTCCTACTATTTATATTTTAGTTAAAGGGACACTGTAGTTAACAGCCGTTTGAGAGAAAAGGCAGTTTTTAAATTGGTGCCTAGTAACACCAAGAGTGCGGTCATACTTTACAAATCTGTATTTTTGAGCCTTTGGTTCAGCACCCGGCACATTGCCATCTAAAACTAGAGTACAAGCATTTGGATCAATAGGTAATGTTTGAGGACAGAATATAGGAAATTGCACATAGAGCAAATCCGACGAAAAATCAACAAAGCAAATCCATGCAAGTACCAGATTATAAGTGCAATAAAAAAAATAAATAAATAAATTTGCACTAAGAAATATGGACCATTTTTATGTAAACAGCTGATTCCCTAGCCCTGGGCGCTGATCCGGAAACTGACCAGCAACAGCTCTGTTACACACACACACACACAGGGGAATCCGCGGACGCAAGGAAGGGTCTCCCATCACAACCCAGAGCCGAGACTGCAGTAGCTTGCAGCAAAGCCGAATACTATCTCCTGGGCAGCAACACAGCCAGTACCATCCTGTGCCAATAGGTGGAGACAACATGCCTGGAGTGGAGCTAGCCTTCACTTATGGCCCAGCAGTGGAGTAGGGCGAGCCTGGAGGCTCCTACCATTGCACCAGGTGTAATACCTGAACTCTAGAGGCTTATAGTCATGTTTCACGTTATATTTTTGATCTGTACCTTCATCATTGTCACATTCAACATACAACCAGTGGTAATAAGTCTGTTTACGCACTACAGGACTGGGTATAATGCGAATCACTGTTGTTTACTGCTCTAAACCTCACATTAAGCCTAGTCTTGTTTTCACATCTTGTAACTTATCAATCCACAGTACTATCGTGCTGTCTAATACTGATCAGAACGTTACTCTAGCCTGATTTCTAGAATGTTTAGCTTTACTTGCCTACCGACCTTCACTTTTACTAACCTGTTATCATAATACTAAAAATTAGCAATTTCTCTATATGCCATTGTGACGAACCGAACCTCGTCACAGGCTCCTAAAGGAGCCTGCTAGCCAGCCTCCTGCCCCAGTATTATTGGCCATGCAAAATACACCTAAAAAAGGCTCGGATTGTGCAATTGGGCTTATATTGTTTGGGAACCGAATAGCCGCACGAACCAGAGACCACCCGGGTGCTTGGTAAGGCTAATTGATACTTTGTAGCAATTTCCACTAAAGTGTTCTAAGTGTTCGTCTGGGTGGCCGCATTTCACATGAACAACCACGAGGTGGCGGCCATCTTGTTCCCGTAAACGCAGGCAGCGGTGCTTGGGCATAAATCTCACGGAACTAAAAATCAGGCACAAACTCCCGAAAGACGCTGGACTACCATCATCGCCTGCGTTCGGTTCTACCCCACTTAGAAAGGCACTGTTCAGTGTAAAAGTTCCCACAAACAAGGGGAACAGGCTACATAAGTAACTTACCGACCGTTAACCCTGATATCCTGGAACGGTTTTGGGCATAGGACCATGTGCACGGTCGGCCAAATAATTGACTTCCATGACAATTGACAGGTGGTCCGACTCCCCAGTAGCAGAATGGTTCAAAGGGAGAGGAGACTACCGGTTCCTCTCCCCAGCAGCAGTGCCAGGTATCAGGAGACAAGACGAGTAGAGCGGTGGGTACAGATGGGACCGAGGTCTCTGCATCAACCCGATAGGGAGGCTAGGTAGCCTTTCCAGATTCCCAAATGCAGCAGGAGTTTCAGGGGGTAGAGACAGTCGGACTCTCTCATCAACAGCCGAGGACCGACCCAGCGGAAGAGCTATTCATCAGGGCAGAGCACCGTTGCTCTCTGCCAACAAGTCTGTGAAGCTTTTTGCATGGGAGGGGTGGATTGAACCGTGGTCTCCATCCCTGGAGTACAGAGATGCTGGGCAGTTGGCCCGGATCCCCAGCCCCCTAGTATGGGAGCCCAAGTCACCCTGGTTTTGCACCTTCAGCAGAGCCAGTGCCTGGGATATGGTGCCCTCCATTTTTCTCCCCAATGGTGCTGTCTATCCCGGAGAGGGGAGAGTTGTGCCCTTTCCCTTAAGGAACAACAGGAGGCCTCCAGAGGGGATAACTGTTGCCTTGCCCAGCAAGACCCCAGAGTTATACATTGGAGCAGGTGGCAGGAGGTCCTCCTGCATGGTCGGTCAAATAATTGGACTTCCATGAAAATCCCGAACCCCTGAACCGTTGTGGGTGATTTTTGGACAGGTTGGTCATCCAGATCAGGGCTATCAGGGGGGTTTCATATATTGTACTTGAGAGAGAATTTAATTGTGTTTGTGTGCTCAAATAATTATCTCTCCAGCACAGGGGAGGAGTGTGTGGAATGTTTTCTTGTAACTAGTCTTCTCTCAATATGTTTAAGGAAACCCCTTACGTGGGGAGTTACATAAAAGACCGTGTGTGGCTCCCATTAAACACATTCGTTTTAGCCCTTCATGAATTTTAGGCACCTGTTTGGGGGATTGGAGAGCACTAATCACTTCTCTGCTGGACACAGGAGAGCTATAATCACTGCAGCACTTGGGATTTGGGAGACTACTAACGGATATACTCAGCCGGAGTATAGGGGATCCGGTACAGCCATGATGCTATTATGGTATCGCTGTCATGGCGTATCCAGCCTATTTGTTATTACTTGCACAACAAAAAAAATGAATTAAAAACAAAAAACCTAAGAGGGCACTGGACACATTTATTGTCCAGCATAGATACTCTATAAATGCAAGGTATGTTGATAAAGCAACACAAAACATGTCCGGTGTCACCTTAGGTTTTGTGTTTTATGTTGGGTGTCCCCCACCACTTTCTTACTGTACAGGATAAGGTAGTTAGACTAAGATATTTTTCTTCTTCACAATAAAAACCTTTACCTGGTGAATAAGAGCCAAGCATTCGCTAAGGGTACTGTTGATTCTTTCGGACAAATGTAAGAGCTCCTCCTCTTCCTCTATTTCCGCCCACAGAGAAGAGTTATGAATGTCACGCTTCTTGCTTTTCACGGTCTTCTTGACAGTCACAGACATAGGTGGGCGCTTGTAGGTCTTTCCTTTTGTGCTCAGCCATTCTTCCAACTGCTTCCTAAAGTCAATAAAAAAGACCCATTTTCACATTATATTCTGCACTATGATCCCCAAGTGTTTCTCTGTCCTCACTTGTGGGGGTCACAGTAGATACACTTACCTATGGCATTCCCTTGCAAGTACTGCCAGCTTCCGGACACTGCATTTTACACGTGCAAGAGTACAGAACAGAGCTTTATACAGATCCCACAAATAAAAAACCCGGTATTACCCCCCCCCCCCCACAAAATGACAAAACTTGATGGCAGAAGTGCTGCATTAGCAAACTTTGTCTTATAGTATTTATTCATAGTATTGGAATTTCAACTGAATCCCACCTCTCATGCTCCCTGATTCCCATTTTCTATTTATACGTTGCTCATGGTTTACAATGGTTTTGTACACCCCTTCAAAAATGTCAAAACGGCAAGTTAGCTGTGCACACTGTCCTTTGTGATTGTAAACTGCACGCCATGACACAAGTCAATGTATAATTACTTTCACTTTAAAGAATAGAAATTCATAAAGATTTCATGAGGATTCTGTTTTTATGAAATACTCACAAGTGACACATAACAACCTATGCTCCTTAACAAAGAGGGGCAAAACCATCCAAAGTTAAAGGCAATACTCTAAAATGTGTGTTTAAACTTCACCCAAGGAAGGGGAATAACCCTTTATTATTAAATAAGTACCCAGAAATGTAAAACGAATCTAGCACAGAGCCAGATCAAATTCTTGGGTTAATGGAAACAGCCAGAAATTAAATAAAAACTGTTATTCTTCAGGAAGACCATATAAGACATAGACCATACACCAAGGTGACCAATTAGTCATATCCACTGAGTGTGGCAGAGTGTTACACGGACTTCTGACGTGGTCTGGGTATCTATAGAAGCCTTTCGATATAGGCTACTATTGATACTTTGGGACATTTTCTGCAGACAGCAGTGGATACAGTGTTACACACTGCCACAGTTGGTACACATGACAAAGCAGGAACCTTGGGATCCACAGAGACGTTTGATTTTTTTTTTTCCCTTCTCCCTTGAATTTAGTCTAACTCTGTGCTAGATTAGTTTTACTTTTCTGGGTACTTAATCTATACTCTTTACATAGGATATGGTACAGGGAGACAACCTGTCACTATGGCCCAACACAATGACTGATAACAGTGATTTGAATAAAAGAAAAACAAACTGCAAGTATTATTGTACTCCCTCACTAACTGATCAAAGAAGCTTATGTCAGAGTTCAACAAATCATTTTGAGACACAAAAGGGATTAAGGAATTATCTGACAATATCACAAACTCATGGCATAAACTAAATATGTATGTCTACCTGTAGCTTGCATAAATGACATTTCTGGTATACACCAGTTCTTATACATCGTGCCCTAAAGACATCAGTACTTATGAGTAAAACTTACTTGCGATCTTCAGTAGCCATCTTTGGTGTTACACACGGCTTGTGTGTAACATTACTGGCAGTTTCTGGGTGACCATTATCTTTTGCACGCACAGTTCTACTGTTCTGTGTCTGACTCCTTGAAGACACTGTTTCACCTCTTGCTTTAAACCAAGGTTTAATGCAAGTAGCACTACTCTTAGTCTGGAGTTTGGTAGGTAATGTCCTGCAGACAGGCTTTGAGACTTGAGTTTTTGCTGATTGTTTACTTAGTGAGTTAAAGCGCTCTTTGTTTAGTGCAGTTTGTGTCACGGTTGTCAATTTTGGCTGTCTTGGCCCATTGATTGAAGAACCTTTCAAGTTAGTGCTGGTATTAACATGGTTTTGTTTTATGGCACAGACACTCCCAGTGGCTTTGCTTACACAGTTAGTAATTTTAGGATTTAACAACTCAGATCTAGAGGAGACAATCTTGTAGGTGCCAACAATGGGTCGCGATGCAAGCTGGCTGCCTCTAGATACTGTGCAAGTATTTCCACTTTGAGCCTTCACAGTAGGTTTATTCAATGTTTTCTGGGTGTTTGTAGCAAGAGGGGCAGACTTTGGAATGTTCCAAGAAGAAGTTTGTTTGGTATTGCTTGGGTTTCTAAGTGTTAAAGCAACTCTACTAGAATTTTCTGTTTTCTTCCTCATATGATTTGCTGAGGATTTCAACTGAATTATCCTATGTGTTTGCTGCCGATTCTGCTTTACGTTAGATGCATTATCATCATGTCCAGTCTCAATGTTTATTGGACTGATTTCACGGTTATCGGCATCAACATTAACAGAGCCCTCTTTGATATCAGCCTCTAAAATTCCCTGGCTTGCCTCTTCCTCAACATCCAGTTCCTTTGCACAGTTTGTGGGAAGTGAAACGGCAGCCGCTTTGTTTTTTTGTGTTTTACAGTCGACATCATTCTTTTGCTGGTCAATCCTAGTATCAGTCTGAATTATTTTTGTAGGTATGGTACCAGTGTGTAACTTGGCACCCCCAGGTTGTTTAATGATTTTTAGGTTTTTTTGAGGTGCTGCTTTTGGTCGTTGCTGAACTGTGATATTACTTGCTTGTTTAACTTTCTGCCCTTGGAAGACCAGCTTTGTATCCTTGAGAAAAATATAGGTTAATAAAATTCACACTCTGTACTCTCAATACATATACTACAATGTTAATAAGTGCATTCTGGTGCATGAAATGGTTTTCTAACTGCTTACCTGTGTAGGTTTAGAAGAACGAGCCTGTGGTTTATTTTGAAGATTGGTGGTATCTTTCAGGTAGTGTCTGGAAATAGTAAACCTTGGATAGTTAAAGTGTACAGAAATACTCAACATTCATGTCGATTACAAATCCATTAACAAATCAAATCAACTCTTATCAAACCATGGTAGTATTGACTCCTGGTATCTCCTACCCTGAGAGCAGAAATACTGCTCTAATACTGCTGACATACTTAAGGCAATCTTTTCCTTTCCAATTAGGAAGGAGCCTGCTTTAAACAAGATTTTCGTTTATGCCCATTTCTGTAAGCTACCCAGGGTTGAGCCTCGTTTCTCTGAAGACCCAGTAAACTTTTAATGATCAGGGGTTTGACATAAGCACTCACCATAAGGAGATGGCAACGATGATTTGGTACATAAGGAAGCCTCTAGCTGAAAGCAAATTAGACTGTCAGTTTGCAAAATCTCCATTTGGTGGAACATAGTTCTGAATCAGTTCAAATATATCTATCCCAGCTATTTTGTGTGGCTTTCCTCTCTCAAGTATGTGCATCAATAATTAGTATATGGGTTTCTGTAACTCTTGAAACTTTAACTGTGGCTTACATTTAGGAGGCTATTAGTGAGCATCTAGGCAAGTCTTATAGGCCTAGTATCGGGGCTAGATAAAGTTCTGCTAATGGCCAAGCTTCATGGGAGTTTACCTGTATACTGCAGCCCAGGGGACACAAGAGACGCTAACATCTCAACTTTAAGGCATGCCTAACTGTATAATACATTCCTGAGTACAGAAAAAGAGGCAAGTATTTTTCAGGTAAAGTATACAGTGTACAAGACAAATGTGACTAAGTCCACTTGCCATAAGATACATGCTATCGATGATCCTGTGCTTTTAGCAAAAAAAAAAACAGGCGTCTATCAAAGAGTGGAATATTTGCGTGTTTACTGCATATGTAGGAGTTATTTATTTTATTTGGTAGCTATATACTCATGAACAAGTACGGATAAATCTATATTAATTATTATCACTGTTGGGTCTAGGCTGAGGGCACTATTGCCAATCTATACTTACACATTTTGCTCTTTTAGAAGTTCACATTTATGTAGATCAGTAATGCTTATTGTACATTTTAGCTATTACTTAAATACTTTAATTATTGGTGCATTCCATTACACATGTAGGTTGGTTATTACCCATGGGTCAATAGTTTGATTACGAAAATAAAAAAATCACTTCCATAATTACAATAAGATTCTTTTCACAATTATAGCCATGGCAGCATTATGTCCCACCCTTCTTCTTCCGAGGTTGTGGATCTAGTCCTAAACTTACAATTGGGGAATGAGCAGCATTAAAGTTATACTAATTTCACAGTACTGTTTTCTAGACTTTCTGCTATGAGGGGAGGAGCTACCCACAAAACAACGCTGCTAAAAGGACCACTATAGTCAGTCACCCAGACCACTTCAGCTCAATGAAGTGGTCTGAGTGCCAGGTCCCCCAGGTTTTAACCCTTCAGATGTAAACATAGCAGCCGCTAGAGGCGCTTCTGCGACGCTGAATGCGAAAATCGCATTCAGCGTGCAGAATGTCCCTAGGAAAGCATTAAGAAATGCCTTTTCTATTCTTAATGCGCGCGCAGCTCTGGCCGTGCATGCGCATTCCGCTCCACTTGGGAGAAGACGGAAGGGGAGGAGAGGTCATCAGCGCTGAGGGGGCCCGGCATTGGAAGTAGCTGAAGAGGTTTTAACCCCTTTAGCCCAGCGGGAGGGGGGGCCCTGAGGGTAGGGTGGGGGGACCTAAAGGTTATATAGTGTCAGGAAAACAAGCTTGTTTTCCTGACACTATAGTGAACCTTTCATTAAAGGGATACTATATATAGTTACAAGAACAATTACAGCTTATTGTATTTGTTCTGGTGAGTATGATCATTCTATTCAGAGAAAATGCAGTGTTTACATTAAAATTCCTATGGCTACCTCCACTGGACACTCCTTGCATGGCTGCGAGAGGTACTTCCTTTAGCGTCTTCACCCTCTGCATGGAGACACTGAACTTTCCTCATAGAGATGCATTGATTAAATGTATCTCTATAAGGAGATGCTGATTGGCCAGGGCTGTGTTTGGCTTGTGCTGTTTCTGCCCCTGATCTGCCTCCCTGACAGTGTCAGCCAATCCTATAGGAAAGCAGCTGCAGACTTGAATACAAGTAAGATGTTACCAAATTTGAGGGGCAAGATGGGGTTTTTAAACTATAGGGTCTGGCATACATGTTTGTACCCTATAGTGTTCCTTTAAAGGACCACTCTAGGCACCCAGACCACTTCAGCTTAATGAAGTGGTCTGGGTGCCAGGTCCCTCTAGGATTAACCCCCCCCCTTTTTTTTTTTTTGAGAAACTGCTATGTTTATAAATGGGTTAATCCAGCCTCTAGTGGCTGTCTCATTGACAGCCGCTAGAGGCTTTTGCTTGCTTCTCACTGTGAAAATTATGCTTTCCTATGAGACTGGATGAATGCGCGCGCAGCTCCTGACGCACATGCGCATTCAGCCGAAGAGGAGAAGAAGAGGTGGAGAGCTCCCCGCCCGGTGCTGGAGAAAGAGGTAAGTTTAACCCCTTAACTCGCCATCCAGCCAGGCGGGAGGGGGTCCCTATAGTGGTCCTTTAAGAAAAGAAAGTTACAGTATGTATGGAATACAATTTTCACTGAAGTGGTGCCACTTTATTCATTCATGAAAAAAGTAAAAGCTATTTAGGCTAGGTAATAAAATAACTATGACTTGCAGTAGTCATCACTGCTGATTGATTTCACAGTGGCAGTGTAAAAACCTTTTACAAAAAGCTATGTTAGAGTTCATACCGTTTCTCGTGAAAGCACAGCCATTTCAATTACGATTAGTTACACCTGCCAGTAGTGAAAATATTAAACCATGCAGATAGGGAACAAGGGACATAGATAAGTACTAACAAAAATATTTTCTCTTGCTGACATACATATGTATGTTCCAAGAAACAATACAAAGAGAAAAGTATGTCTTCATAGCCAAGTGAAGACCCAAAAGGCATTTAGTGTGAAGAATCTCAGTTATTTTTGAGGTAGAGTATACTCACTTTGGGTTATTCTGAGGTTTCAGCTTCCCCTTGACAGCCAGGTATTCAAGAAGCTTCTGCTTGAGTTGTTCTAGTGAAGTTAATAGCAGAGAGTTAGATTGGGGACATTTGGTACAGCAATATAGTTTATTTTTTGGGGGGAGGGGCATTCACAAAAACCAAACATGTTAGTAAAATTATATTTCAGTTCAAAAATGTATTATTTTTTTTCCCCATCAAAAAAGGGAAACAACTGTGATAATGGATAATGGGCACTGTGACAGGTAATGGATGTTGGGCACTATGGTAGATAATCACTGGATGATGGGCACTGTGACAGGTAATCACTGGATGATGGGCACTGTGACAGGTAATCACTGGATGATGGGCACTGTGACAGGTATTGGATGATGGGCACTGTGACAGGTAATCACTGGATGATGGGCACTGTGACAGGTATTGGATGATGGGCACTGTGACAGGTAATCACTGGATGATGGGCACTGTGGTAGATAATTACTGGATGTTTGGTCACTGCGGCAGCACCTTTCATACAAAATGCAGGTCTGGGGAGTGCCCCCTATCCTTTTTCTGTAGGTATTGGATGATGGGCACTGTGGTAGATAATTACTGGATGATGGGCACTGTGACAGGTAATCACTGGATGATGGGCATTGCGGTAGATCATGGATGATGGGCATTGGGTTAGATCATGGATGATGGGCATTGGGTTAGATCATGGATGATGGGCATTGCGGTAGATCATGTGTGTGTCATGTGATGCAGTGCTATCAGACCGTGTATGTGCTGGGTTCCGCCCAGTCCGTACAATAACAATCTCCGCTGCTCTCACCTTGTGCCGTTAGTGGTTTATTTCCTTCCATGATCACACGGACACCGGACTCTCTCGCGCTTCCAACAGTAACCGCTGGCTTTCGAACTGACCAATCAGAATGGCTGTCGGTGTTTTTCTTTTTTTTTTCCTTCCCCCATTGGTAAACAGTTATCATAGAGCTGTTCTAATTGGACGGGATTAGTGCCAAAGCCGAGTGATTGGGTAAAACCATAGGGAAAACGACATTGGCGTTCTGTGATTGGATGACACACATGATTTGCCAGTTAAACATTGGCGCTGCATGATTGGGTGCTTGGATTTTAGAGCCGTGTGATTGGTCGATTGAGCATTGACTCCTCTGATTGGTCGACACATTGTGGCAGGTTTATTGCAGTCATGTTTGGCTGCTCAGTGACAGTGAATGGAGTGATAGCTAACATAGAAACTTTAGCCAGTTTGTGAATCTGGGGTTTGAGCCCTAAAAAAACATAAAATCCAAGGAAAATAAGGGAGGTGCAACAATAAATCTTAACTTTTTATTGATATCATAAAAACCCATCATAAAACTTTACACAAAGAGCTTGAAGATAAGAGACCCACATGAAAAGTGACAAACGTGAAGCCACATAATACACTGTTACGCTTTTATTACAAAGCTCCATCTCCGAGGAATAATAACAACAACAAAAAAAATCATAGAAAATATTTCTTATTATGTCTGGTTGTCTGTGGGATACGTCATCTGCCCATGCTAGGCAGCACTATGAAATTCCCACGCATGCCCAGTTAAACACTGGGGCATTGGCTATTGTCCAAAATTTGGACAGGAATTTTGTCCATTCATTTGTCAGAAAGACGAATGAATAGAAATTTCAGACAAACACGTTGGTGTTCGTTCGTTTAGTTTATTACAAGGAGGGAGCTACTGGCGCACAGCTCCCTCCTTGCAATATGTAAAAATAGAAGCGGCAGGGAGCTGTGCTTCCCGACACTTCCTAAGCCCCCCCCATGTTCTCCCTCACTCTGTGTGGGTCAATATGTCCTCCATATTAACATAAGGGAGATTGAAATCTCCCGAATGCCCCTACCTGCTATGCCATGAGTAGTGGCATGTATACTAAACAGTGAGCAGCCTGTGGCTTCTCGCTGTTGTAAAAATAATTATACCCCCCCCCCCCCAGTAAATGGGGCTTCTATTAACTAGCGGGGGGGGGGGACATATTGGCCACCCCGAGCCCCCACCTGTGCCCTGTGAGTAGGGGCTATTCAACACTATAAGGGACAAAGGGTCCCCCCTGACCCCACCCACGAGCGGTGGGTGGGGCCCTAAATGACAATAAAAGGGGGGACCTACTGTTCCCTCCCCCCCAGCCCCCATCCATGGGCGACGTGGGGGGGCTAAATAAAAAAATACTCCCTCTCCCCAGGTGACTAGGGGTCCACAAGCCCCTAGTCACCTCCCACCCACCCACCCACCCAAAAAAATAAACTAAAGCCCTACCTACCCCCCTCACCCTAAAAATAGTGAGGGGGGGACAATAAAACTAAATACCTGTAAGTAAAAAAAAACAACTTTTGATGTCTTCTTTTTTCTAAAACCTTATTGTTTCAGCCCCCCAAAAGGCCAAATTAAAATCCATAAAGCCCGTCCAACTTAAAAAAAAAAAACAAGCGCAAAAAAAAAAAACCATGCCGACAAAAAATCCCATGATGCTAAAAAAAATAGCGTAGGAAAAATACATAAGACAAAATAGTCCCTACTTTGTCTTATGTTTTAAAGAAAACTAGAGCAGACAGGAAAAAAGAAGAACAGATCCTGAGAGAGAGAAGATGAAAAGATTGGGGAAAGGTAAGTTCGGCATGACAGTGCCGCTTTAAAGGGAAACTCCAGTGTCAGGAAAACAATCCGTTTTCCTGGCACTGCAGGTCCCTTCTCCCTCCCACCCCCCAATCCCCGGTAGCTGAAGGGGTGTAAACCCCTTCAGTTACTTACGAGAGGCAGCGACATGTCTCACGTCACTGCATCTTCCTCCGCCACCACTTCTCCCAGTGATTACGTCGGCCGGTGGGCAAGACTTATCCCGCCCACCGGCCGGGGAGACCTAATGCTCATGCACGGCAATGCGGTGCATGCGCATTAGAGCTCCCGATAGTAAAGCATTGAAAATGCTTTCCAATGCTTTCCTATGGGGAAATGAGCGACGCTGGAGGTCCTCACACAGCGCGAGGACGTCCAGTGACGCTCTAGCACAGGTTTTCTGTGCTATGATACAGGAAGTGCCCTCTAGTGGTGAAGTTAACCCTGCAAGGTAATTATTGCAGTTTATAAAAAAACTGCAATAATTACACTTGCAGGGTTAAACGTATTGGGAGATGGCATCCAGACCACTCCAATGGGCAGAAGTGGTCTGGGTGCCTGGAGTGTCCCTTTAACAAGTTCCTCAAAATCCATCTATTCAGGAAAGTTTATGGCCTCCAAGAAAACTGTCTTTTGCTCTCTCTCTTAAAGGGACGCACTTCATTCTCACCTTCTAGTTCTGATACTTTTCCACCTTGTTGTTTGGTGGCTACCCCCCTCGATGCCCTTATAACCCACCTCCTCTAGACTGTAAGCTAGTTTAACCAGGGCCTTATCAATCTATTGTTCCTGTAACATTTTGTAAAGGTCTCATTTATTGTTAGACTTCCCCTTTTTATAATATTATAAAGTGCTAGCTGGAGCTATATAAATGCCAAATAAATGAATAAATAGTATAAATAATTCCCTTATTTCTCCATTAATGTAGAAAAATGTAGTCATAATTAAGCACTGTCACCACAAGTGGGCTCCATACAGCCTCAATAATGGAACAAGCATTAGAGAATTGTAGATTATGCTAACGTAGTGCACCTATAATCTTAATTTTAGTAATGACAGGAGGCAAATATTTTGCATAGCTCTTTACTGTAAAATCCAACAGCACAGATCAAAACAGACACAACCAATCAGAAACAAGCATCCAAATCCATAAAAGGCCCTGCTAGCCTGAGCACTTCCTCTTTCTTTGCAGCGGACTACTACACACAGTCTAGAACAAAACCAAGTCCTGAAGAACAACGAAACAGCAAATAACATCCAGAAGTCGAGAAATAGATGACCGGAATTACACCGTAAACAGTCCAGCCATGTGAAGAAGTTGATCACACTGAAAAGAAACAAAAAGAAGTGAAAGACATCTGAAGTGGAAAGATGTCCACTTGAATAATTACCGTAATATAGTCAAGTGACGTAATAAATTCAACTAAATTGATCTAACCATTAAAGTTCATCTAACTTAACTGTTCTCTTAACTTAACTATATATAACCATAATGGACAACAAATACTTTGGCAATAAGAATAGTGCGAGAAATAAAGACGCAGGGTGGGAAGCAAAGCAGGGTGGGAAAATATTTGCCTCCTGTCATTACTAAAATTAAGATTATAGGTACACAACGTTAGCATAATCTACAATTTTACCACATGACAGGAGGCTTCATATTTTGCATTTTTAACGCTTAGAATTTAGAAAAGTGAAAGAAGTATGAGAAGTCTGTCTGAAGTAAAAAACACAGAGAGTATGTTTCCGTGTCCAATCTGCACATCTCATAATGTCCAATAGACATGCTCCAGACAAAAATGCCAGTGCCGCGGACCAGTGGCGTCGCTAGGGGGGGCAGGCCCCCCCTACATCATGCTGTGCCCCCCCTTTCGGCCCCCCCAAATACCAGCAACATGTTCTTACATTCTATTCCCTCGGGCTGTAACAGTGTGTCACAGCCCGGGGGAGGGAATGCAGGGCAGAGGAGCTCAGCTCGAACGGTGCTGGGGGCTGTCTGTGGCCGGAGGGAGCACTGACAGGCTCCCCGGCACAGGCCCCGCCCCCAAACGAAGCCCCACCTCCCACACATACGCCACGCCCCCGCCGTTAAGCAGCAGACCATGCTGCTGCTGGAAAGGCAAGAAGATGGCTGTCTGACCCCCAGCAACAGGTAGGCTTGATATGCTCAGGTGTGTGTGTGTGTGTGTGTATGGACTCAGCAGTCTGTGTGCCCCCCCACATCATGCTGTGCCCCCCTTGGTCCCCCTCAAATGCCAGCAACATGTTCTTACATTCTATTCCCTCGGGCTGTAACAGTGTGTCACAGCCCGGGGGAGGGACTCAGCAGTCTGTGTCTGTGTGTGTGTGTGTGTATGGACTCAGCACTGTGTGTGTGTATGGACTCAGCACTGTGTGTGAATGGACTCAGCACAGAGTGTGTATGGACTCAGTAGTCTGTATGTGTGTATGGACTCAGCACTGTGTGTATGGACTCAGCAGTGTGTGTGTATGGACTCAGCACTGTGTGTGTATGGACTCAGCAGTCTGTCTGTGTGTATGGACTCAGCACTGTGTGTGTATGGACTCAGCAGTCTGTATGTGTGTATGAACTCAGCAGTGTGTGTGTATGGACTCAGCAGTGTGTTTATAAACTCAGCAGTGTGTGTGTATTGACTCAGCAGTCTGTCTGTGTGTATGAACTCAGCAGTCTGTGTGTATGGACTCAGCAGTGTGTGTATGGACTCAGCAGTCTGTCTGTGTGTATGGACTCAGCACGGTGTGTGTATGGACTCAGCAGTCTGTATGTGTGTATGAACTCAGCAGTGTGTGTGTATGGACTCAGCAGTGTGTTTATAAACTCAGCAGTGTGTGTGTATTGACTCAGCAGTCTGTCTGTGTGTATGAACTCAGCAGTGTGTGTGTGTATAAACTCAGCAGTGTGTGTGTATTGACTCAGCAGTCTGTCTGTGTGTATGGACTCAGCAGTCTGTTTGTGTGTATGGACTCAGCAGTGTGTGTGTATGGACTCAGCAGTCTGTATGTGTGTATGGACTCGGCAGTCTGTCTGTGTGTATAGACTCAGCAGTCTGTGTGTATGGACTCAGCACTGTGTGTGTATAGACTCAGCAGTCTGTGTGTATGGACTCAGCAGTCTGTCTGTGTGTATGGACTCAGCAGTCTGTATGTGTGTATGGACTCAGCACTGTGTGTGTATGGACTCAGCACTGTGTGTATGGACTCAGCAGTCTGTGTGTGTGTATGGACTCAGCAGTCTGTGTATGTGTGTGTATGGACTCAGCAGTCTGTGTGTGTGTGTGTGTATATGGACTCAGCAGTCTGCGTGTGCATGTGTATGGAGTCAGCAGTCTGCGTGTGTGTGTGTGTATGGACTCAGCAGTCTTTGTGTGTGTGTGTGTGTATTAACTCAGCAGTCTGTGTGTATGACCTCAGCAGTCTGTGTGTATGGACTCAGAAGTCTGTGTGTATGAACTCAGAAGTCTGTGTGTGTGTATGAACTCAGAAGTCTGTGTGTGTGTGCACTCAGCAGTCTATGTGTCTGTGTTTGTATCGACTCAGCAGTCTGTGTGTCTGTGTGTGTGTGTGTGTGTGTATGGTCAGCAGTCTGTGTGTCTCTTTGTGTAAGGACACAGCAGTCTGTGTGTGTGTGTGTGTATGGACTGTATCAAGGGAAATGTGTTTGTTTTTTAATAATTCTTGGTGGAAAATAATGAATTTTCCACCAGGGATTATTTAAAAAACAAACAAACACACATTGTGTCGGGGGGGCTTAACATGCGGCAGGGCCGGGATCAAACTGATGTGAGGGCGGGGTTAAATGTGCCCCCCTACTTTAGTCCCTGGCCCACCATGTGCCCCCCCTAAAAATGAATCCTAGAGACGCCACTGCCGCGGACCAAGTGGGCTCCAAAAGATAATTCTATCCCAGCCATGGACAACAACCAGCGAATACATCTAGCCCTGGCCGTGACTGGTTTGAGGGGCTTAACATAGGAAAAGAAAAGTTGTCCTGATGGCGTAGCTCGTAGCGAAGAAGTAACTTCTACGTACTTTAATAGCGCGTACAAGACGCATAGCCGAGGTGCCGCCTTGAAAAAACGTCTACGTCGAACGACCCGACAGAAGGAAATGAGACACGGCAACAGTGTCAGTTTAGCTGATAGCTGCCGAAGGGACAAACTCGCATTGTCCGGCCATTCCCGAAGGAAACGTAGTACTATATCCACGTCCCAGAGACGAGAATATTTAGGCGCCGGAGGCCTGGACAACTTAATGCCACTCAGAAGGCGACATACCAGGGGTCTTGCCCCACTGGAACGCCTTGGAGGAGAATGTGAGCCACCGAGATATCCAAGTGTACCACGTTAATACGATCAATGGAAAAAAGATGAGACAAGTAGTTCAGTATGACTGGGATAGGTGTTGTAAAGGTGTTGCGGCTCCTGGGCCGCCGCATGGCACAGCCGTGCACGACCGGCACAACTTCGCCGATATTGCGAGCTTACCCGTTAAATGAACCAATTAATCGGTTAGGCTTTAACCTGGGCTAATCCCTTATGGAAGAGTGGAAATCCAGTTGCCCGTGATTACAATGTATTCCTAACAGCTTTTAAAACTACTTTTGAGCCAAAAGGGAGAGAAAAGAACGCTGCCAGAGCCCTAATGAGAATAAAACAAGGCAACCGCTCTGCAGCTGATTACACCATAGAGTTCAGGACATTGGCGTCTGAGGTTGACTGGACCAATAGAGGTTTGGTGGCTGCTTTTTCCGAAGGTTTGGCGGAAAATATACAAGACGAGACCGCAGCCAGAGATCTTCCAGTTAACCTTAATGACTTTATTGCATACATGATAGACATTGATAACAGGCTCAGAGAGAGAGAGAGAAAAACAAACAGGGTACTAGATGTTCTAACTTATCCATAGCCCCTCGTTTCTCTAACCCAGTGGTAATTAGCCATGCTCCACCTCCAGAACCTGAACCCATGCAACTGGGCATTGCAACACAGACGCAACTAGGGGTTGTGTTTGTATTGTGGCAAAAGGGGACATCAAAGGTTTTCATGTCCAGTTCGGCCGGAAAACTTGCACACCTAAGGCACGTTCGTGGACCGACCTTAGGTGTGATGTATATGTCCCCTAAATTCAGTGGTGTATCCTGGTTTTGTGCTGCCCTAGGCAGGACAAAACTCAGGCGCACCCCCCCCCCCGCGCCAACCCCCCCAACCCGCCTTCTAAATACACACACACACATACATTCACTGACAGATACGCATACACTTGCTAACAGAAACACACACACACTAACAGACACACTCACACTGACACACACACTCACAGGCAAACACACACTCACTGACACACAGTCAGACACACACATACACACTAACAGACAAACACAGTCAGACACACACTCACTCACTAGCAGACACACACACACACACACTAACAAACACACACACATTAACAGACACACACTCACTGACACACACACTCACAGGCAAATACACACACACACACTAACAGACACACACACACACACTCACAGGCAAACACACACTCACTGACACACAGTCAGACACACACATACACACTAACAGACACACACACTCACAGGCAAACACACACTCACTGACATACAGTCAGACACACACATACACACTAACAGACACAGTCAGACACACACTAACAGACAGACACACACAGTCAGACACACACAGTCAGACACACACTAACAGACACACACAGTCAGACACACACACACTAACAAAACACACACACATTAACAGACACACACTCACTCACTCACATTAACACATTTTTTAAATTTATTTTTTTATTTACCCCCCCCCCCACCTCCTTACCTTTGGGAGTGCTGGGGGGGAGGGGGGTTCATTACCTCCCTGGTGGTCCAGTGGTTGCCGGCTGGGCTGGGCACGCGAGGGAGCTCTTTCCCTGAGCGGTCTGCTCAGCTCCCTCGCGCGCCGCAAAGTGAGGCTGGGAGCCGGAAGATGACGTCATCTTCCGGCTCCCCGCCTCACTCTGCGGCGCACCAGGGAGCTGAGCGGACAGCTCAGAGGAAGAGCTCCTTCGCCAGCCGCCTGCCCAGCGCCGCCCGCCAGCCCAGCGCCCAGCCGGTCAGTTAGCCGCAAGGCTAACAAGGCATTTGCCTGGGCATTTCGGTGCGGAGTTTTTTGCCGCCCCCTGAAAAATGCCGCCCAAGGCAAATGCCTTGTTTGCCTCGCGGCTAAAACGCCCCTGCCTAAATTGACTTAGAACCGTTTCCTTATAAAAAATATTTTGTCTTGTAAGAAAACCACTGTACAATGTGAGGCTATGATTGACTCTGGGGCAGCGGAGAATTTTCTAGACAAGGAATTCTCTGCCAAACATCTCCTGCCCTTAAGGCAGAAAGATAGACCCATAGCAGTTGAGGCTATCGATGGGAGACCTCTTACCCAGCCTCTCATCGCGCACGAAACCCTGCCAATTGCTGTCTCAGTGGGTATCTTACATTCTGAAGAAATGGTTTTCCAAATTATATCTTCACCTACATGTCCGATAATACTGGGTTTCCCTTGGCTCCAGAAACACAATCCATGTTTAGATTGGGTTGAAGGAGAAATTGTGAGTTGGGGTGAGAGATGGGGAGGTATTTGTTTAAAACAGGTGCAACAACGAATTGGTACCCTCAATATACCTATAACGCCTCCCTTGACCACAAAAATCCCACCGTATTTGGACGTAAAGGAGGTATTCAACATGGTACAGTCGGAGGTATTACCACCACATAGACCCTACGACTGTGCCATAAATTTGTTACCAGGCACTATGCCCCCTAAAGGAGGAGTATATGCACTATCTCCCCAAGAAAATCTTTGTTTAGAAGAGTACATATAGGATACTCTCAGAAAGGGTCACATACGTAGATCCTCTTCACCTGCTGGGGCTGGGTTCTTCTTTGTTTCTTAAAAAGAATAAGACCTACACCCTTGTATAGACTATAGGGGTTTGAATAGAATATCAATAAAAACCGCCTATCCCATTCCCTTTATTTCTGAGTTATTCGATAGGTTGAAAGGGGCCAGAGTCTTCACTAAGCTCGACCTCAGAAGTGCTTACAACCTAGTCAGAATTAAGGAAGGGCACGAGTGGATGACATTAATGGGACATTACGAATACCTAGTTATGCCGTTTGAACTGTGCAACGCCCCAGCGGTGTTTCAGGATTTCATTAATGATGTCCTTAGAGATTATTGTAACGGATCACCTGGCACCCCGACTGGGTACCTCCGTGAATGGATGCTCCTAGCGCTTCCTGAGGATTCCAAGCACTGCAGCAGACACCACAACCACCGAACCGGAGAAGCATACGAATAATCTCTTGCATATGAATGCTGTAAGCAGCTGAACAGGAAAAGCATACAATCAGCTTACACTCCTGGCAATCAGCATACAATCCAATTCCCCCAATAACGAGACGACACTTCGTTTTGAGGTCAAGCAGAACTGCCTGTACTGGCACATACAGCCTCTTTTATTCACAATCCACAAACATAGTACTGCCCACAAGGTTTTGAAATACAACCAATCAATCCGCACAATACACACAGACACTCCCACACAAAATCCTCCCCTCTGCCTGTGATATGATTACTGAACACAATGGCTAATATAATTATCACAG